AGAGCGGTGGCTGTCTCCACAGTTGTTCGGGAGGCGAACTTTGTTTTTGGACATAGCAGCCATATCTTGCTGTTCAGCGATTCGGCTGCATTCTGTGTCTTGCCATGAAGGCACCGAATAAGGAGTTTCTCCTCTGTAAGGCGCTTGTAGATAGGCATAATTGCCAATCCTTGAGCCTTCGTCAACAGTGGGGTGTGGCGTGGTGCAGGCTCCCCCAGTGCTTCCGCACGCTTGTGCTTGCACCACGAATTTGGTCCCGCGGGGCAGAAGTTGTGGCTACTGGCACCATCACTGGAGCAGCAATGAAAATACGATGCCCATATGGCAGTGTACATATTTCGGACACTCTCCTTGTTGCTCGTGATGGCGATCTTGTAATATGTTTGTAGTTTTATTATTGTCGCATCTTTCAGTTTTTCGCCTCGTGGCAGTGGCGTTGCCAATTTCCGTAGGGCAGTTCCCAAGCGCTTTGCAACGTGGTTCGTGCACTCTTCTTGGTCAATGGGGGTGCCACAGTATACATTTGCCTCGCAGACTGCAGTGTAGGCCTTGCTGTCACCATCACTTAGGAAGCTGGTGAATCGCAGTGGAGTTTCATAAGACAAGGTCCTCTGCCATATATTGACAGCTGCCGCAGGTTCCATTGCATGGGATGAGCAGTCAGTGTTTTTTTGGCAAACTGGAAGATGAAAAGCTTGCCATATCTCTTCATCCTCCCCAAGGTCCCTGTGTATACTGCAAGCATGGCAGTAGTTCGAAAGAACTTCAAAATCGAGGCAGAGCCCCGTGTCCAGGGACACGACTGTGCCCACTCCATTGTGGCTTTTATGACCTCTTTTCTGCCAGGTGCCATCAAACATGACTGGCACATCTCTTCCGTAGACTGTGTCCTTCGTGATGTTTCGTGCCTGGTGCAAGTTTTTGCTCACTGCCGTCATCGCCGCACCATGGAGCTTCTTGCAAATGCCATTGAATGTCTTGTGATGCATCGGGCTCGGAAGACCGAGAATCGCACAAAATCGTGAAACTTGGTCGTGGCCTGCGCCTATAGCGCGTGCTGCCAGAACTGCCTTCACGTTTACAGCAAAGCTGTCACGCGAGCTGCCGCTGTCAAAACGAGCGCTCGTTTCTTGGTCCCCGGCCGAAGCAGTACGTCTCGACGTGTGCGTGAACGAAAGTGCAGATTCAGGGCAATCAGAATTTTGACAGCACAGTTCGAGGAATGCCGAAAGTCCTTTGCACTTTCCAGCTGCCTCTCGCACGCCGAGCTTCCGTTCGCGGCAGGTTGGGCATTGCGCACCCGCCACAAGTGCCGTCAGCGCATCGATTTCGCAAAGCAGCATGTTCGCAGTAGCAGCATTTGATTGATATGTGGGGTTTAACGTCCCAAAACCACTATATGATTATGAGAGACGCCGTAGTGGAGGGCTCCGGAAATTTAGACCACCTGGGGTTCTTTAACGTGCACCCAAATCTGAGCACACGGGCCTACAACATTTCCGCCTCCATCGGAAATGCAGCCGCCGCAGCCGGGATTCGAACCCGCGCCCTGCGGGTCAGCAGCCGAGTACCTTAGCCACTAGACCACCGCGGCGGGGCCAGTAGCAGCATCTACCGGTCTACGTTCACTCTCGAAGAATCCAATCTTCCTTTGGGATGCACTGACGAATTCCACGGCAGCGGCTATTTCACAACCACTGTCGCAGGGTTCGGTGACGGTAATAGGCCTATCCGAAATCGGAGCGTCGGGGCGTTGGTCGGGGGCGACATCGTCGTTCGCTGTCGCTTTGCGAAGCGTCCGACGCCGTTTCCCTCGATACTTGTGGCGAGTTCTGAACTTTCGATTATCTGAACTGCACTTCTTTGGGCTTGCCATGACGCAAAAATGCAGAGAAACGCAGAAAAACTCGATCGCGACGTCCGAGGCTTCGCTCTTTTGCCGGAGAGATAGGAGGGGGAGGAGCGTGGAGCGCACCGCCGTCCAATGGCGGCCTCGCGCTGTGTGCCGCGATATTCAAAACGCGTGACGTACGCGTTGTTTTTCTCGTTTTTTGTTTATTCTGCGTGAAGGCACGAGACTGGCTACTAGTGGATTATGAAGGATACGGCCTTCGCAGCATGCGTGCAGGATTGCAAATGGCGGCCAACGCGTCGTTCTCGCGACAGGACGACGCGAACTTCGCCGTTTTTAGCAACTTTCGTGCATTTCTCGCGTCACCGCTGCCCACTTGGAAGCATTTTTTGATCATTTCTCGTGCGAATTTCAGCTTGATATTTTCAGAAGTAATAGATTATAGTCCAAGGATGCCAATACAGCCGGAAAAAAAAAAGCAAAAATTTTCCGGAAAACCGCGACTTTTCGACCTGCGTCTCCCCTTAAAGGAGCACTGACATCAAATTTCAAGAACAAGATCTGCCTATCATTCGATCGCTTTGTATGCATAGATCTTCTTGGCCAAACTTGAACGGCCTCCATCGCGCGTAAGTTATTTTAATTCGATGTCAAACAGCGTAGAAAAGCTAAGGAGAAAAAACGGAAAATAGACTGCCCTGCGACATAGACACTAGTGCTACGTGTTCGGTGTGATACATTCCACAAATACCATCCTGAGTGACGATGTCCTAGTAGCGATGACATGTACGATCCGACTGTTCTTATCGTGGTGCGGACTGGCGCCCAAGTGCAGAAACGCACTCGCTTGTCGCGTGTGATCTTCGTCGCACTGGTTTGAATGATTTCGTGAAATTATCAAAAGAAAAACCTTCTTTAAAAAAAACGGCGAAAGAAAAGAGCATGATTAAACGTGTGCTTGTCGATCAGCATGTCGGGGAATCGTTGCGGGTGGCGGGTGCGTTGCAGTCGTCTAGTTCGAAGCACGGAAGAAGCGCAATGAGGGTGTCATTTCATATCACGTATGTGTTGCACATCAACACAACCACAAGCTATCAAAAGTGGAGCAGCGTATGGTAGATATCATCGCTAACAAGTAACACGCAGGTATCGTTGAATTTTAGTTCATCTGTAGACTTTGCGTCCCCGGTAAAAGTGGTAATACCGTGCTAACCACGAGAGGCTGGATAGGTGGGGCCATCTGGCGGTGCAAAAAAGAACCTGGCAAGCAGGAAACATATTCTATTTCTCTGCTGATGCTCACTCACGATAGCTATATTGCACTGACCCCTCTGCGTATACCTGAATGCTTTACACGCCAAAACACACCAATATAGCTGAGACACACGAGCGAACGTGACTGAAGCTTGCATCCCCGGGCACCTCTGCAGTGCTGCTTGAAACCGCGTCCATTTCGGAATCATTGTTCTTAAAAAGGTCGATCGAAGCAAAAATAACTCGCGACGTCGCGAATTGCAGAGATTTCAAGCTCTGGACTATCGTATTGAACCCGAGTCGACACTTTGTACGGCGACGACAGCAATGCAGGTGACAAGGCACGACTGAATGTGTCCGCCTAGCAGATGAAATGTTTGCGAAAAGCTGAGCCTGGCGTCACTCTTTTCTGTAAAGAAAATGTCAGCTGTGGCGTGACCTCGTGGTGACCGCAAGGTAGCGCCACTGCTGGTGCTCCCAGCACTAAAAATGGCGGGATTGCTAGCCGTTTTAAATAGTGTTAGACACCAGTGATATAAATCAATAAAAGTGATAGTTATTCAGCCCTCAGTTGCGGTTTAGGTTGCGAATCGCTGCTACGGGGTCTATAGCTACTCGCTGACGCAAAAATCTTGGCATGACTAAATCTGATGTCAGTGCTCCTTTAAGCCGCCCCTGTTGCCAGTCGGTGCAAATGTCCCTGTTTACTGCACCACTCTCACTTGAGATTGCTTTGAAGACTAGGCCATGGCGTGTTTTGAAGCGGCTGAGCCATCCGTTGCTTAGGACAAAGTTCTGAACACCCATTTGCATGGCGATCTCTCGACCTTTCTGCTCGAGAATAGATCCGCTTATGGGCAAATTGGAACTGCGTGCATGCTTGAACCACAGAAAAAGAACTTTTTCTAGTAGTTCATAAGACGTCGTCCGCATCTGTTTAGATGTAAAGGTCGCATTCTTAACAGTGCCTTCAATCTTTCCTCAATCTTTTCAGATCCGCGACAGCGTCAATTTCAGGATGTATTTTTTCGCCACCTACATCTTGGGCAGGCGGCTTCGACCGATCTCCCGAAAAATTCGCAGCCTTTTTCCAAACGAGAGTGCATGGTGCGGCCGCTTCCTTTCCATAGGGCCGAAATAACACCGTCATTCACCGCACTTAGCCACACAAAGAGGCCTAACGCACAATTGAATCGCCGACTCGGCTCTTACAGCCCAAGCGAGAATGGCTACTGGATTGGCTTGTCTCGATCTCAAGGTGTTGCCATGGTTGTGAGGCCACCTTTGGCTCGAGCGAGTCTATGCTATGTTTAGAGTTTGTGTTGTTTTAACCGTAGGTGACCAATAAGCACTGTTTCGATTAACCGATGAATTTTACTGTGCAACACATAGAAATCCAGCCATATGAGCCCGTTTAGTTCCGTTAATGAGGCATTTTCGTTTAAGCGAGTTTCGTTCATTGGGAGTCCACTGTACACCAAATATTAGTATCAGCATTTCCTTTAGAAAAAACGATTTCGTGTAACCTACAAAAAACAACCATTTTCCCAGTAGTACGAAAAAGTTCATTGGAACTACTACTTCTGTTATGCAGCAGACTCTCTGTAAACAAAAACAGTATCTTAAACTGAACTGCTGCTTTAACAGAACAACTGCCTCTAATATGATTGAATTCGTACTTCAATACTACCATACCCCTGTTCATCTCCCATTACACAGAACTAACTCTTGTGAAATGCAACACATTTTCTCGGTCCCACCAAGTTTTCTTTAATGTGCCCCTGATAACGCAGTACGATCTCGCCGATACAAATCCCAAGGAGGAGCGAGAATAGTTGCATCACCCGCAATTTTTATAACCAAAAACTTTGCGAAATTCGCAGTTTGCACTTACCCAACCTTGGTGAAGAGCTTGCCGTGGACGTGCAGGAAGCTTAAGACGTACCGTTTGTTGAGCTGCAAAAGCATGAAAGTGTAACAATAAGAGAGAAACCCCCAGAATGAAAACTCATTGACACCTGGTGCCTTCTCTCGGACTACAACAACACGATGTCTTCTGTATTTATTTGAACAACACCGCAAGCACTGTAAAGTGGATGACACTCTACGCCTAGACTAACCATCCTACCAGCTTGTCCTACAACATATGTGAGCCTTCAGTGTGCGAAAGACATGTAACCTGACTAGGAATAGCAAGTATACATACACACTGTTAGGATCGGCGCTTGAGCCAAGCATAAATGGGTGTTCGGGGTTCTGTGAACTAGTTGCCGAAAGGAAGTGGGCCTGCTGACAGCTGTCCAAATACGAGTATTGTCCCCCCGACCTGGGAGAGGGGCATATAGTTGCGACGCCGCGCCACAAAGTGTACAACGATGACCGAAATTGTTTTGGTCGAGACAGCCTCCTGGAAGAGATGACGGCGACAGCATGAATGACCTTCAGCTCTGCAGATTGAGCGTGGCGAGCAGGGTTCCTTTGATGCTTCCCGGCAGTGCGAGCGTGTAGTGGCCCAGCACCAAGTGGCATCATCATCCCGAGGAAGAGACAACCTGGCGCCAGAGGGGAAGTTTGGTTGCTACGACCCTGTCAAGGACGTTGCCCAGGTCGTGTGTGGCCGGTACGGTCGGGAGTGATGTGTGTGTGGTGGTAGGACAGAGAAGTTTAAACCCATTCCCCCCATCTATAGGTGAGGGGGAAAAAGACTTGATAACCAGCAGCAGTGTGCTCCTGAGAGAGTCTTCGATGAGATCGTCATGATGTAGATCGACATCATCATCCAGATGTTCGTCTTGTGGCGAGAAATGCTCTCTTGTACCGTATTTACTCGCGTAATGATCGCACTCGCATAATGATCACACCCCTAAATTTTGTCGTCTGAATTCGACTTTTCTTTTCCCCGCGTAATGATCGCACCCTGAACTTGCCGCATCAACATGTCATGTGCCAAGTCTAGCTGAATGCACCCATCATTATTTCTATGATCTGAAAGCAGGGTATAACTATGCTAATGCCGTAACTTCAATGATTTAAATGATAGCATTCCTTATTTCGATAGAAGAAACTTTTTTGCCGCGCGTGAAGTACTCACAACCTTTATAACTGACGCAAAAAAGAAAAAAAAATGCGGTGGCTTTGCTCCGTTAGCCGCCATGTTTGTTTTGACATCCCGCACTGTTAGAGCGGCGGACGCCTGTTGGTCGACGTGTGTTCATTCCGCAGCAATGTTTTTTTTTCCTGAGACCACTTTTTTTTTGTGCTTTGTGATCGTCTGTTGAAGCGGTGTTTCACCATAGGGGCGGTATGCGAGCTTTAATGCCGCATTCAAGCTGAAGGCGCTTGACTACGCGCTAGAGCACGGCAACCGCGCTGCCGGCAGATATTTCGGTGTCGACAAAATCCCGATCCGATATTGGAAAATACAGCGCGACATGCTCATGGCTACTAACAGCACACGATGGGCTTTCCGCGGACCCAAATCTGGCAAGTTCCCCGACATTGAAAAGGCAGTCCTCGAATACGTGAAGGACATGCGCAAAGACGGTTATGCAGAGTCATTAGACATTAGTTTCCCGGAGGCTGGAATAGCCACAAAGGACTTCCGCGCCAGTTCCAGCTGGACGACACGCTTCATTTGGCGGAATGGACTGTCGCTAACATTTCAAACGCGCTCGACGGAACGGAAGATGGCCCTCTGTGGGACAGTGAAGACACTGCCGGTTCCGACAGGGAATGGTTCCGGCGACGACACTGACGCCAGTAACGTTAGGGGGTCAGAGAGGTAAAAAATAACAGGGCAGTGTGCCATGCATGTAGCTCCTGCGTAACGCGTGCATTTTATTACAAAGGTAAGTCCTAATTTACTTTGATTTTTGATTATGTTCATGATGGCTACCGTAAGAATTCTGATTAGCGACTTTTTTGCATTTTCAGTGCTCAGAATATTTTTTCACGGAAAATTTACCCCGTGTAATGATCGCACCCTGAAGTTGGAGTCAATTTTTTTGGAAAAAAAAAAAGTACGATCATTATGTTAGTAATATACGGTAAATATGTAGAGTAAACCTCTGTACAGTTTTCCTCATCAGTCTCTTCATGCTCGGCGTCTCCCGCGTGCCCTCGGTGCCGGTAACGGCGAAGTCCCAACACCTCAACAATGAATAGCTGCGGTGGCGTCCATGATCACACCCAGTTTAAATAACTGGTGGCAGCGGTGGGATCCTAGTTAACCCCCGGCCCCAATAACACGAAAAACAACGCATTTAGACTAGAAAATTTTTCGACAGCTAACGTGTTGCTACATGCTTAAAAGCTAGTCGGCATAAATGTTTTCCATGAAATCCTCTGTCCATCAGAACCTTGCCGGACGTTTTGCAGACCAATAAGAGACCCTTTTTCACGTTTCAGTAAATACTGATGCAACATTCATAAAACCCCTATACATGCCCCAATTAAAAACCCACATGACAGAAAAAAAAATCGAGTACAGTTCACAGGCGGCGGGTCATTGCCCTCAGGCCACTTACATCAATTGTCGAAAGCAGCGACAGCTGCTCGACCTTCGCGCGACGCTTGGTCCCCCTGTCGGCTGCTACGGTGAGAAGTGGTCCCGTCTGGCCTGATCCAGATCTCCAGCCGCTCTTCTTCCAACGGACTCTCCAGACTTGGCTGCTGGTTGACGCCCTCCTCCTCCAGCCTCTTACGCTCTAGGTGGTCGTACTAGAAGGAAGTGCCATTTTACAAGATTACCATGCTGAAGCAGATGCAGAATTCTCTAGCGAACAATACACGAGATAATTTCTGGTTTGAGAGACTTCTCGTGTCCAGCACTGGACACATAATTGTGAATGGGCAACAACGAAATTCGTGGTACTGCACTGAAAAACCAAGCCTGTGTCAGGAATGCTGTTGTCGATAGAGGCCAATGTGTCTGCATTGATTGATATGCGGGGCTTAACGTCCCAAGACCACCATGTGATTATGAGAGACGCCGTAGTGGAGGGCTACGGAAATTTCGACCACCTGGGGTTCATGTACCCAAACCTGAGCACCCAAACCTGCACCCACATCTGAGCACACAGGCCTACAGCATTTTCGCCTCTATCGAAAATACAGCCGCAGCATCCGGAGCTAATTTGTCTGCAGAAAACCGCGAAATCTCCAACAAAAGCAAGGATATCCCGAAAAACTATTACCCTTACAAGCAGGCACACATAGTACAGTGAAAGCTCGTTAAATCTTACCTTCGGGAAGCAGCAGCATAACCACTCATTGACCACTAGCTATGAATTTGCATCTCCTGCATGCACAATTGCTGCTAACATAGAAATACCATATTATTTTGTATGAACAGTTTCAATGCAAGCTTCTCAGATTTGTAACAAGCTGAACTGAACAAAAGCATGCATATATATCTTTATTCTTCCATGGTGGATGATTTGAGATCACATACCTTTTTCCTAGCATCGTCGAAGAGGGCGAGAAGGCTTTCCCTCGCAGTCAGGAAAGGATTGCTCGCTGCTAGGCTTCGCATGTAATAGTATACTGCATCGAGCTTTCGCCTCTGGTGGTGACAGCAAACGAAAAAATAATTAATTACCAGGCACAGATACTATATGCATGGCTGAATTTTTTGGACATGCATTACACATCTCTTAGAGATGAAGCACTTTCTTTCTCACCTATCAAAGGGATGAAGCAAAGCAACTTTTAAGACGTGCTAACTCCCGTATTTTCCTGCTGCCAGCTTTGGGTCATAGGAGAGCTCAAATCAAAAGACCAAATTAATGGAAGAAATGGAGTTTGCCATGTTACAGGCAGCCAACAATTTACAGGTCTGCTGTTGAGACAGCGGTAACAATCAGCTCAAACAAATTTCACTAAACGCAGTCTCCCCGAAATTGTATGAACACAAACTGGACTGGGGACAGCTAAATTTTCAAGTGGCTTACCGCATAGAGTGCAAGAATGGCAAGCTGATTGTATGGACGGCCATTCTTGGGTGCTATCTGCTGTGCCTTCAGGTACCAGCTGCACAAAAAAATAGATTAAGAAAAACTTTAACCTTTTATAAAGCACATAACAAACCCAATACAACGGTGAGTAAACGTACAGCTGCTATTGCTCTGGTTTGCAGTAAAACCTCGATAATTCGAACTCAGTTATTTTGAAATCCTGCTTAACTCGAAGCATTTCCGCAGTACCGTATTTTGCAATGTTAAGTAAGAGCGGATAATTTGAAGCGGCGGTCACCACCAGTCTGGTCAATTCGAAAACTTTGGGTGCGGTACGTGTGCCAATTCCCGACCTTTATTTTGCCCCAAATCCGCGAAAACGACAGCCCTGAAGAGTCGCAAGGCAATGCAACCTAGCAATACTAATGAGTGGCAGCTGAAGCACTCGAGCCTCGCAACTTAGAGCACGAAAAATAAAATTATAAAAGAAAAAAAAAAAGGTCGCGCGATCAGCTGAAATGTGTGCCTATGGAAAACAGGACACTTCACTGCAACACAGCAGTGACGTGTGAGCAGCAAGTTACATGCTTCTCGCAACAGCAGCGCGCCATGATTCACTCATTATATCTGGGAATATAAAGAAACTAAGAAATTCTGGCGCGATTGCGATGTATGCGAACTTCGACATGGCGGTTTCTACATGAATTTGTGTACTTGCACTGCTGGTGAAGGTCTTGCCTGCAACACCTACTTGGAAAACTCGGTTCGAAAAGCTTCGACGAGATGTTTTGCAGCCAAAACACATCGGGAATTCAGTCACACTATCCGTTATTAAATTCTTTATCTTACCAGAAAGAATGGGGAATGGCCGCATCATAATGTGCCAACGCAGTGAGGAGCAGGCAACATGCTGCCCGCGTGTCACTACTGTCTTGCAGAGTCTTGTTTTTACGCAGGCTCGCAATTCAATGCAACACTTTTTTTTTTTTTCGCAGTGGCAGCAGCGAGGCCCGGCCATTCCCCCTTGCTTGCAGTAAAATTGTGACCAGGTATTGTAGCAAAACAATCGTTGGAGCCGCAAACTAGCCGGCAATGCAAACGACCATCCGTGATTACTTTGAATAAGTTCAAGTTCCTTGCATCCCACTTTTTGTATGTTCCAATATTTCGAAAGCCCGCTTTATTCTAAAATTACTTCCGATCCCAGTGACTTTGAATTAACGATGTTTTGCTGTACCATATGCTTGCGCAGATAATACAGATATTTGTAAATAACAGCAAAAATAAAGGATATCACTAGATCATGTTCACATTATCAAAACATGACGGAGTACTTGTGGCAGTAAGCTTTCCCATTCATGCCGAAAAAAAAAAAAAAAATGTGCACATGAACACATGAAATCTCACTATCAGTCTCTCCTAGGGGGGGGGGGGGGGGGGACACGGGGACCAAATCGCGAAAGTCTCGCAAAAAACCAAATTTTCGATGAACCTTTTGATGACCACTTTTCATTCAGGAAAATTGCTCGTTGGGCAAGTTGGTACATACTTAGAAGAAGCCACAAAATGTCAAAATCGGAAAAAGCAGAGCGGCAGAAACAGAGAGAGCAGAGATGTGGCTCATTTCTATCATATCTAAAAATATTTCCACCGAAAATAATCTCAAAGCAAGCTTGAAAAATGCATTTTCCGACTGCAGATCGTGAAAAGCTGGCTAAAATCTGAGCAAAAATGGTCTATTTTTGAGCGCGATACCACCCTGTCTTCGCCGCCACTCGCAGGAAGTTTGCTGTCACTGGAAAACTTTTCCCACGACCGTACTTCTCCCGGTAAAACTACGCATCTACGAGCAAAGATAAATGCACGAACAGAAAAGATACGAAGGCATCCGCGGCACCTTAGACGCGCACCGTTTGGTTGCTCGCCACGTGATACTGAATACGCTCTGTGGGTTTTTGCTGAGATGTGCTCGCTTGTACTGGTCGTCTACTTCGTGCGCACCTGCTGTGCACATGCTGGCACACGATAGTTTACGAATCTGCTGCTGCTGTCCGGTTACCTATACGGCAACTCTTCTGTAGCGAGAATCTTAGCGCTCGCAATGGATTGTCGTGCAGGCCGGAAGCGCGGGACGAAGTACGCGTACAGGCAGTGTAAATGCAAGCTTCCTGTTCGGAAAACAAAGTGGTCAACAGAGAATGAATCACGCGAACCGAGGAACGCGTCGCCACCAAGCCACGTGTCGTCGAAACCCGACACCTGCTCGATGTTGATGCTCGGCAGATAGGCCTATGACGAGGAGCAATCAACTAGCCGCGATATCGCGGTGCGGTTGAGCGTGACAGAAATTTTGCTTCTGTAGGGGCGTATGACGACATCATGCCAGCGCTTCAGAATGACGGTGAGTCGACGGCCGGCAGTGAGGCCTGTGACTCAGGGCCGTTAACTAGCCGCGACTTTGCGGTAAGGTGTGAACGCGAAAGAAGTTTCATTGTCGCTGTGCCGGTTGACCATGCAGTGCCAGCTGTTCGAAATTACGGTGAATCGATGCCTGGTAGCGACACCAAAGACCCTGGGCATCAACTAGCCGCGGCATTGCAAAGCGAACGCGAGAGAAGTTTCGATCTCGCGGTGGCGGACCCCAGCATGGTGCCAGCTGTCCAGGATGTCGGCGATCGTTTGGCTCAGCTGAAGTGCACCATTCAAATACACCTGGAACCTCATTTCGTGTCCTCGGAAGCCACAGACAAGCAATCCAGCAGTGTCCGCGATGTGCTTTGCGAGGAGTCTGCAACAAAGCGAGGGTTCGGGTTCCCGCAGCAGACGGAGCAAACATCGGCACCAAGGTTTATGCCATGAATTCCCAAAGGCCCGCACTCTGCCCAAAATGTTGTCGGAAGACTGTCAGGGCAGCATAGAACAAAATTGGGCCTGGCAGTAAAACGGGTGTTTTTGGTGTCCTTCCCCTTAGTCATCCAGTAGAAAATCCAAAGGAAGGGCTTTTGAAGTCAACCATGCAAACAATCATGTCCATTAGAAAAGGGCCCACTGCCCTGAATTACTTGGGGGCTACAATGAATTCCTCGCATCGGGGAATTCATCAAAAACATATCAGGAACACCTAAAAAAAAACATTCAAACCAGTAGCATAGGAACCTGGACAAAATATCTTTGCAGATGCCGTGCATGCGGTAAAAGACGTGTACAGTTGAACCCCTTTATAAGAGGCATGTTCCGGACAGCAATTCTGGTATTTTATACGAGATGTCTGTTATAAGCAGAGGGCCTTGTATGCGTTTTCTTACTCTCCGGTATTTTACTCTAGACACACTGGTGTCTCTTATATTGGTGCCTCTTATAAAGGGGTTCAACTGTATAGCAAGATGGAGCCATCGAGCCCAAAGAACATCACAGTTGTGTATGAGGACACGTGGCTTACAAGAGGCCATAGCTCACACTTTGGGGTCGGCTACATTATTGAATTTAATACGAGGCTTGTGCTGGATTGCACAGCCCTCTCAAAGTTCTGTCTTGGGTGTTGTCAACAACCAGCAGAGAGCGACCCCAACTTAGTCACCTGGGCTGAGAAACATTATCGTCAGAAAACACTGATGTTCGCTTCGGACAGATGGAAGTGGAGGCTGCTCCGACACTTTTCAGGCGCTCTGTCAGCAGGTATGGTCTCCGCTACACCCATATTATACGAGATAATGACAGCTGACCCTATCTTTCTTTGTGCAAAGATGAGGTGTACAGCTTTATACCACTGATCAAAGAAGACTGCGTGAACCATGTGCAGAAGAGAATGGGCACCGCTCTTTTCACATTGGTGGCACGAGCAAAGAAAGGGGAGCCATTGGGTGGGAGGGGTGGACTGACGCAGCAGTTGATTGAAAAACTGACTGGCTACTACAGGTTAGCCTCGCGAAAACACAAAAGCATCAGTGACATGCAAAGGGCTGTGATGGCCACTTTTACCATGTCACGTCCACCGACGACGAGCCTCACCATGAGCTCTGCCTACCTGGCCCTGATAGCTGGTGCAAACATTGTTCACAGGCCAAAATGAAGCCAGCACCACCTCACAGGTGTAGCCTGTGTAATATGTAGCAGAGGCTCTCTGACCCGCAACTGCTGGAGCGATGCAAAGGCAAGAAAACGCAGAATGCAGCGGAAAGCTTGCATTCAGTCATCTGGTCACCAACTTCAAAAGATCAGCTTGCTTCACTGTTCGCCGTGGAAACTGTTGTACATGAAGCACTTACGCGGTATATTTTAGAAATTTGCGAGCCTACACTGAAATGTGCAAGTCTGTGGGCATCCAACCTGCTAGCCTCGCCCTTCAAAGAGCTGAAGAAAAGAATAAACAAGGAAAAAGAAAAGCACGCAGTGCAGAAGAAATGACAGAGCAGAGACGCAAGAAGAAATTTATAGTTGAAGATTTCTTTTAGAAATTTCCGCAGTGAGTGTCAAAACTTTAAATGCAATTTTTTCAGCATCACATCTTTTACCAGCCTGACTAGCCTCACGGAACTTTTCGTTATGTTTTTGTTAGCCAACTTTAATAAATGTTACACCGTTAAACTCGTAAAGGACCAAACTGTACAGCTATGCTATTTTTTTATGGCTAAGATGATAAGATTCTGTGAACAATAATATGAGCGAATTGCACTTCAGAATTATGGAGCATTATTGACGATTGAAATGTTTCATATAATTAATATCAGCATGAATATAAATAGCATAGCTCAGCATGGCAGATCGTTGGCTACAGCTGCATCTTAAACTGGACCAAAAAATATCGAGGAAAAATGGGTTAATCCCCCGCAAGAAATTACCTAATTAGACTTCACCTATTTTCTCATACTCTAAGAACTACTTGAGATACAATAAAACTAATTACATTTTTGTAAACAGAAGAAACACATATACAAACCTAATTCATTAAATTATCTCTAATAATAAAAATTTCATTGTTAAAACTGGCATCTGCCTGTTAAAGGACCGACATTAGGGCTATAACAATATTCCATGACTGCAGCAGCAGCATACTACCTGTTGCTGTCGCTTCCATTGCCAAAGCGCTGACGGTGAAAGACTTTGGACAATCTACAAAGAGTGGTGCTTACCTTCGAGCTTTGCCATAGTTAGTGGTACCCATGGCTTGCTCCCGGTACCGAGCCAAGTCCCCTAGGCAGATGTAGATTTTCTGCACTGAGATGAGCACCAGCCGGACGGAGTCTGGAATGACCCTGCCTCCGGCAACGCCGCCCGCCGACGAAGTGGAGGAACCAGCACCGAGGGAACCACAGACGTCGGGCTCGAGAAACTGGCTCAAGCTGAAGCCGTACGTCTCCTGGAACTTGTCCAAAAGGTTCTCGTAGAAGATGGTGCCCTTAGGAAGAAAATTAACAAAGGCTTAAGGGGGGAGGCTACACTTAATGGGCAACTTTTTTATTTATGTATAGATCTGAACGAAATTTTCACAGTTTGTGCATTTATATGTGCAAATACTAAAAATGTAATTACTTTTTTGATAGGTCAAGTAGTTTACAAGATACTCCACAATCAATTTCAAACTTGCGTCCTTTGCAGCCTAATTAGCATCTAAGCGGGAAGCACCAAAACATTGGCGAAAGTGTAGAAACAATGTAGGATGCTTAAGGAGAACAATATGCTATAAATCAAATTGCTGGGCCAATTTCAACAGGAGTTCAAGGACATCAATGTTCAGAGAAAAACAAGCCACCTTCACCTGTCACGCATGTGACCCAATTAAAAATTTTCTACGTGTATATTGCCTTCAAAATAAGCATATCGCATACTGCATGTATTTATCTTTGTGACAAAAAAAAGAATTATGCTGATAGCTCAAATGAAACAGAAGTTATTTTGCCTCCAATTTGGCAAATGTGCCAAAATTGATGTTTTGAGAAAATGAGAAAAAAACGTTTCAAAATGCCTTTATTGAAAAAATATTATTAAAATCTTATGAAAATGCACCAGGGACATAATCTGGATACATTTATTTATTTTATTTATTTATTTAGGAATACTGCAGGCCTTAATAGGCCCAGGCAGGAGGGGAAAAGTACGAACAAAAGTACAAAGTCTGCAAATATCAAGAATATATACAAGTAGGATCTATACAAAGCAACAACAAAGTGAATCTACTAACAAGTAAATGAGCACTAAAAGAAATGTGATACAAAGAAAAATAATATACAATATGAGAAGATAAACAATACAGAACTATCTAATCAATGTACAAAGGAGTTAGTAAAATACTGGATCACTGTATTGAAAGAGGAAGGGCTAGATCTAAGATGAAATGGATGCGATAGAGTCGGTGTTGCTGAGTGTACTAAGAGGTAGGCTGTTCCAGTCGGCTACTGTTCGAGGAAAAAAGGAATACTTAAAGATGTTGGTTCTGGTATTGTAAGGCGTTAATGTGGCAGAGTGGCGATGTCTTGTTCGGCGAGCAGTGAGAGGCTTTATGTAAGGTTCAGGAGAAAGAGACAATTTATTTTTATACAGTAAGAATAGAAATTTAAGCCTGTGAATTTTTCTTCTTAGTTGCAAGGACTGAATGTTGTGTTGGGCCATTAGGTCACTTGGACAGTCACTGGTGCGATATTTGGAGAAGATGAATCTTACTGCTTTACGTTGGATCCTTTCTAGCGCATCGATGTTAGTTTTAGTGTAAGGATCCCATACGATAGCTGCATATTCAAGCTTAGGACGGACAAGAGAGGTATAAGCGGTTAGACGGGTCTCGGGAGGAGCATGTTTTAATTTGTGTCTGAGGTAGCAGAGTTTTTTGAAGGCTGAGTCGCAAAGGTGAGAGATGTGGGAGTTCCAACTGAGATTATTAGTTATGATGACACCCAGGTACTTATATTCATCAACCTCTGTAAGAGGCATGGATGCAAGATTATACGTAAACGAAAGTTTATTAATTTTTTTGGTGATTTTCATAAATACTGTTTTATCAATATTAAGCTGCATGTCCCAGCGTTCGCACCATGTAAAAATTTTTTGAAGGTTAGAGTTTAGGGTGATTTGGTCTTGCTGGCAGGTAATTTCATTAAAGAGTAAGCAGTCATCAGCGAATAATTTTATCTGTACAGGTTCAGTAATAGAGTCAACTATGTCATTAATGTATATATTAAACAATAAAGGTCCAAGAACACTTCCTTGGGGAACTCCAGAAGTAACAGCAAGGTCACTCGAACATCGCTTGCTTATGCTTCTTCTTGACCAGCTTTCTCAGATTTTGTGATGCTTGTCTCTGTTTATTTGAGGTTGCACTCTGACTACAGCCCTTCTCCCTAGCCCTCAGGAATGTGCTGCTTAATATCGCGATGTCCAGCTGCTCTAGAATTGCAGCAAACGTATTGACATTGCCCGTGTTGAAGCACAGCACAGCTTCTGCAGAAACAGCTTGCACAGCAAGAGAAGCGTGCTGCTCCTTTAACACCAAACTCCAAATTACGGATTAGAGGCTTTCGTGTGAATTCCGAGTCTTGCCTCGCTGCCGCACCACTTCACTCCGTAAAGCGCTCAATTTTTCGCGCTGTTGCCGACACCGGCGAAAAACCCTCAAGCGTCGTGGTTGTCTCGAAGGGCGCGTGCGTCACAAACTTCACTGGCAGTGATCACAGCAGCATCTACCCCCACACAGCCGAAGTCGACATAGCGCTCGCTGTCAGGGAGGCCTGTGTGCACGCGCACTTCATAATTCACAAAGCGTCCGCTATCCGGGGAAGCTATCTCGCAGACTCTTCCATCGATAACTTCAGTACACGGGCGGCCAGCGTCGACGCCGCGCATGCACGAGGAATTGTCTTTGGTTACAACGGTGTTATCAAACAACGTGGGCGCTTGCTCCCGCGACACAGTAGCAGCACCAATGGGCTTTCTGCCTTTCTTCCCTTAAGGGGGGACGCGGCACTTCGGGACCGAAAATCAGCCAAAAAATCGAGTTTTCGCGGACCTTCTTTTCGCGTTCCCGACATCATTGCGCACCTATTTACAAAATTTCATAGCCGAATACCATCAACTTTTATCGTTATTCAACTTTCAAAAACCGAAAACGGGCATCCTGCCCTTTAAATTGAGGGCGAATAGCGCAGGTTTCGGCTCTACGATACGCGGGAACTACGCGCTCGATCGGCGCCATTTTGGTCTTGTTTGAAAGAACGCGTTTTCAGCTGTTTTTTTTATTCAGTAAGCAACATTGAGCGTTTCCCCGGCTCGAAAAACGGGGCCTCAAAGACGAAGAGCCGCGCTCACTGCCATTGGCTAAACGGCGCACGTGACTGAAATGGCGCTTTCCGTTTGGCTGGAAGCTCGCGGCTTGCGCCTGCGTACGCGACCCGACGCCATTTTGAAAGGGTTACCGCTGTGACGCCTCGAAATCGGCAGAGCACTCTGAAGCTTCTGATCGTATCGCCATGCCTGAAAACGCAAAAAAGTATCGGACCGTGCACGCATTTGGTCGCAGGAAACGCAAAGGTCGTGGGAGAAAGTCTACGAAGTCATCAGAGCCCTTGGTTGACTCCGACGAACGATGTGTCGACGCTCCACGGCCGTTCAGCGATGGTGCGACCGAGCGCGTTGCCTCCGACGACGATGACGGTGAAGCGAACTCCGGACGACTACGAATCGACGCCAAGGTGGTGACAAACGCCGAAGTTGAAGAAAATCATGCCCGGGAGAAAGCGACGCTCGAGCGGCTTTCATCGGCGCCAGCAACTGCACGGAAAATTGATTTTTTCACCGCGAGTTGTAGCGAGGCAACCGCACAGGACTCGGACCACGCTGCTCCTTATCTGCTTATGCATCTAGATATCCTAAACGCGATAATGGGTGCCTTGTGTTGCAAAGCCTGCCACGGACCGGCTACGATCGTCAGAGGGGATCGGGACTACGGACTTGCCGTGAAAGTGCTAGTGCAGTGTGAAAGGTGCGGCGAGATCGCGAATGAATGGACTTCGCCCCGCGCGAACGGCACGAAAACGTGCAATCCGTTTGAAGTAAATCTTCTCGCTTCGAGGGCGATGGTGGCTACCGGCAACGGCCAAACGAAAATGAACGATATTTTCGCAACAATGGGCATCTCACACCGCGGTATGCACCACAAGACGTTTCAGCGGCATTTGAAGAACACGCTGGCACCCGCTGCAACGCGAGCGGCTGAGTCCGCTATGAGCGAATGTGCGGAAAAGGTTAGAACAATTTATGATGACTTGTGCTTCGGCCACCGGGGCAATATTGCCGTTAGCTACGACGGCACGTGGAAGACGCGAGGCCATTCTTCCCACATCGGCGTGGGCACAGTTATCGAATTATTTAGTGGCTACGTGTTGGACTACGTCGTTCTTTCCAACTTTTGCCTAGGCTGCGAGGTGGGCCCAAAGCCTAGTAGTGAGGGCTATCAAGAATGGAAGGCTAACCACAAATGCCAAAAAAATACGAACAGCAAAGCGGGGCAAATGGAAGTGGAGGCGGCTCTAATTCTATTTCGGAGGTCGCTTGAACGCCATGGCCTGCGCTACACAACTATGCTGTCTGATGGAGACTCTAGGACATTTTGCGCCATACAAGACGCCAAGGTGTATGGTTACATTGACGTGCAGAAGGAAGACTGTATTAATCATGCACAGAAACAAAAGTGCGATGGGAAAAGAGGCCTTGGTGGGAAAGGCAGGCTCACAGGTGAGCTGATCACCAGGCTGAGCACATATTATGGCCGGGCTCTGAAATCGCATGAAGGTGACGTGGGCGAGATGCAAAAGGCTGTGATGGCCACATACCGCCACGTCACCTCCACTGATGAATGCTCGGACCACAGTCTGTGCCCAGCTGGTGAAACTTCATGGTGTCGGCACAATGCCGCAAAAGCAAAGGGTGAGCCCGACCCCAGGCATGCCTACAATCTACCGAAAGACGTGGCAGAGGCATTACTACCGGTTTATACCCGGCTTTCGGAAAGAGCCCTGCTTCAGAGGTGCGAACGCGGCAAAACGCAGAACTCCAACGAGAGCCTACATTCGGTAATCTGGAGTTTGGCCCCCCAAGGAGCACCATGCGTCCCTGTTCGCTGTTGAAGCAGCGGTTGCAGAAGCAGTGCTGCGCTTCAACACGGGCAATTTGAATTCTGCAACGGCAATCTTAGGTGAAATGGACATGAATGCGACAAGTACTGGTGCCAGGAGAGCGAGAGAAAAAGACCACCATCGCAGCATTGTCTCCAACAAGAAAAGAACAGCCTCATTGGAACTCCGGAAGCTAGTGAAGAGGAGGCATGAGCACAGAATGCATTCAGACTATGCTTCTGGTGCGTTTTGAGGTTGTCTTGTTGCATCTTCTGCAATAAAAATGTGTGCCCACGTTTTTTCTCGATTTCTCAAAACGACAATTTTCATGTGCTTCCCATTATGCCGGAGCAATATCTCTTGTTCTATCTGGGTTATCATTACGATTTCTTTTTTGTTTCGAAGATAAATGCAGGGGATGTGTCGTAAAGTAAGTTTTATTGTAATAATTTTTGAAGAAAATTCTCTAAATGGATCTTTTGTTTCAAGTGTAGATGGGGAAATTTTTCATGTCATATTCAACATCCCACAACTTTGCTTCGAAATAGCCCAGAACAACGATTTATACTTTATTGCACACTGTGAACATACCGAATTGGTTCTATAGGTTGCACATCAATATCCAAGTTACAGTTAATTAGCTAATTAGGCCTTAATTGAAAAAGTCGCAGTTCATTATTTCTTTAAAACGAATTGTCACAGCAAAAAAAGAATTAGATTTTTGAAATCAGCAGTAAAATCTACATAGGCTCTCCAAATTTGACTGAGGTACTCGCAAAAATAAAAGAGTTTTTGGAAGGTGTCGCATCCGACATAGCGCTCGCTGTCAGGGAGGCCTGTGTGCACGCGCACTTCATAATTCACAAAGCGTCCGCTATCCGGGGAAGCTATCTCGCACACTCTTCCATCGATAACTTCAGTACACGGGCGGCCAGCGTCGACGCCGCGCACGCACGAGGAATTGGCTTTGGTTACAACGGCGTTATCAAACAACGTGGGCGCTTGCTCCCGCGACACAGTAGCAGCTCCAATGGGCTTTCTGCCTTTCTTCCCTTAACAGCAAAAATAATGCTGCGATCGGAACTTTTTTGCACCGTCAGGCATAGGGAGATGCACAAGCAAGTTAGGAATACGAGTCAAGACACCCTCGCAAGGGCGATACCCTTTCAAAATGGTGGCAGACACTGCCAGCAAGTTTTCCTGGCCAATCGGAAAACGCCATTTTGGTCACGTGCGTCAAGCAACCAATGGAATCACGCACGGCGCGTGATTTTGACTTCGCTTTTTTTGCTTTTGCGAAGGGCACATTGTTGCCTACTGGAAAAGAAAAAAGTTAGAAACGCGACCTTTCCAACAAGACCGAAATGGCGCTGGTGGAGTGCATAGTTCGGGTGCCGCCGTTGGGGGTTGAAATACGACTAGATTAAACTTTAATTTAAAGGTCCGCTTGCACAAAGTTGCTCTCTTCATGGGTTGTAACTTGAGAAATAAGAGGAATGTCGAAGCCAAACTTTGCTGATAAGTGCAGAAGGGCATCGGGAACGCGAAAATGGTGAAGAGAAAATGCGATTTTCGGAAATTAAATTGGATGTTATAAATGCCTCTCTGGCTGTCTCTCTAGTGCTTCTTCACTTCATGCGCAATTAGAATGGTTCTGTCCACTTGATAGGGGGAAGACCAATGAGAGACTGCGCAGAGTCGTAACGTAGCCAATCGCTCGGTGACTATGAATCCTGCCCAAATAGCACTGTGCCAGTCACTCCATCTACTCTACTGGCACCGCCGCTGTTGCTCACGTGTTTGTATGATCTTCAGCGGTGCAAGAATAACGACTGAGGATATTAGCGCTTCGGCTCTTAGCCTGTCACCTTTTCAGACTCTTGCCTGCACTTTTTTTACTGTTAATATTAGCTTTCATCTACTAGTACAGTAGACGAGAGTGATGGTTTGCAGGGCAATAGGATTAGTTTGTTGTAAGCCAATGTGAATAAAAGCTCAACTTGCATCTGCCACAACCCTATTATTTTTAGTGCTAGAGTTATTACATTTATTATTTGTTAAACTTTTATATTCACTATCTGACGTCACCTTGGCGAGTCCAATCGTCACGCGATATCCATAAGTTCTTTACGTTGGACAATAAAACTGACCTACAAATGCAGGCATAACTTTAATGCTTCCACCCTCCAAGTTATAGCCTCCTCAGTCCCAAGAATGCACTAATGAAAAAAGCTTTTGCAAAACTGTATCATTTGGCTTTCTGCTCTTAAATATAAAACACAGAAAAATTATATACTCACCAAATTTAATGGTTGTCTCATGATGCAATGGTACCCATTTGGGTACTTCTGAACAAAATATCAGACCGAAATGACTTCCAATATGATCTTCAGGGTGTTTACAGTTAAAGAAATGTACTACTATGGACGTCATTCATGCAACAACTAAGAAAAAAAAGTTTTCATTGATGACGAGGACACAGCCGCGCGCTCGTGCAGTACTCGGCCATTTTTGTTCACTTGTTCTCCAAGTACGACTAGAGACACGGTGCCACTTCACAAGGCTTTGCGAGAGCAACTCATGTTAATTGTGGCAAGACAAATTCAGACACCTGATTATTGAATTTTGGCGATCCGTAGCCTTTAAAACAACAGTACCCAAATGCGTAACCTGGGACCGAGCAGTATAGACATTGAATGTTTTCTTGAGACATAACTAATAACACCTGCAAAGAAGCTGAAACACTTTACTGTATTTACTAGATTGTAACATGACAGATTACTTCATTGTGTCTAGGAACAAAAAAAATATCCAACACAAAGCGATTGTGTGCATCATTGCAATATTTAGTTAGACCACTTGAATTTTAGTATGACTCTAAAACGGGGGTCAACCTTCAGGTAGCAAAAAAACCTGGGGAAATATTGCGTTACGTTCAAGTATATATACGATAATTAATGGTTAAAAGCTAATTGCTTTCAAAGTGCAACTCATCCAACATTCCATGCGATCATTAGTGCTGCAATTGTCTCACCTCATCAACCAAGCTGAGAAGTAGCATCTTCGCTTCCTCTTGAAAGTCGGGACACTCTTCCATGATGCGACGGAATGCCTCGATGCCTTGGTAGAAAGCTGACTTCCAGAGTGCATTCTCCACATTCTTCTCCGCACAGAACCTTGGGTCAGCCAGGATCACGTTCTCATACCGAAGCTGAAGCTTCCATCTGAAACCCAGAAGAGGATTTCTTACATCCACACTAAATTGCTTTCAGACTGATATATTACTCCTTTAGGAGCCTAAGTTCTTCGTTTTCACTATCATAGGCTCATTATTTGAAAAACAAAAACTCGTGGCTTCCTCTCAGAATGCCACAACAAAGCTCGAAACCCTGTAGCAGATTTCGGTCCTTTTTTCGTATTATGACCAAAGCTGGTTCTATAAAAATTCTAGAACTGGCTGGGTAAACTTTCTGGCCCCCTTAGAACAGAATGTAGTGCATTTCTACAAATAAAAGACTAATGTATTCCCTAGAAGCACCATGTCTTTGGCATCGGTAAGCTGATGCGAAATAGCGAAAGCGTCGTCTCCACCTGGGTTTCATTTTTGCATGTTTACCAAACTTTTCAAAACATACCCTGAGGGCAAAAAAGGTGCTTTTGATATCGCAACAGGGTAATCTATTAATACAGTCGAAATTATTTGCTTTTTAGCGCCCCTTTAAAAATAAAAATCTTTCAACAACTTACGTCTATGAAAACTGCTACATCAAAGATGAAACTTTACGGGCGACTTCTTGCACTCCTTGTTGCAAGAGGGCTCGTGGCCTAGCTCAAATAGCAGCGAATAAATTCAAGTTCAGTAGTGTCCGACTGTTTCCAGTGACAATTCCCACACCACATTGATCGCAGCACCACAATAACTGCTTCCCTCAGAACACCCTTGAAAGTAGACTGGAGGGTGGCCTACAACTTGTTGAGACATTACGGCACGACCCAAGAAACAAATATTACAGAACGCCAGTTTTGAAGACTCCTCGGGTAAGCTGTCTAATTGAACTAGATATCCATCACCACTGAGTAGCTACCGTCTGTGATGTGTCAAGTCGTTGAGGCTATTGAAATAAAAAATTACGTGACGATGGTCAAGCAATAAAGCAAGTTCCATACACTTTAAGTTAATTAGAACAAGTACATAGCTACTGAGAAAAAGTAAATACTTGTTCGATTACCCTTTGTTGCATTGCTGCACCACGACGCTTTTCACCAAGTGCACATTGATCACTGAAGCCGAACGTAGCACAATGCGAGAGAGTAGACAGCCTTCAAAGAGCTATCAAGCACTGAGCAAATCACCACACCTCACAAAAGATTTTCACGAGTTTCTTTTCAGTTTGTTGTAGCGCGACGTCTAGACCAAGCTAACTCACCTGCAATGGCCCATGGCTTTGGTGTCCATGTTCTGAATGCCCTTAGAAAGGTGATTCATCAGCTCTCGCTCCAGAAGGGCAGCATCGTGCAGGTTCTTCTGGACGAGTGGCTTTATTTGGCTGTATCATACGAGCAAGACAGGGTTATAAGCATTTTAAAGGGTTATAAGAAAATTAGAATTATCAAGCAGTTCAGGTGAAAAAAAAACGGGCGTTTCAAGAGCCTGTAAACCACCTCAGATATTTTTTCAAGCATTTCAAGTAAACGCGCACATCGTAGGCAGGATGCCCTCGCGATCAACGATTCTACACGTGGCAGGGCTAAAAGCCACCAGTGCAGCACAAATCTTAAGAAATAACTCCTCCTTTCCGGGCCTTCGCAAGACGCGCCATGCCACATCTCTGACACACCGAGCCAAATATGCTTGATTGGTCGAGCAAGAGCCTATGACTTCCAGTCAGTCTGCAAGCATCTGTCCGCGCTGCTTGTTGTTGTTCCTTGTGTTGCCTACGTATAACACATGCAGAGCACGGCGTGTCCTCGTACGGGTCCATCGCATTGGCGATCCTTTGAAGGTGTGCGCACAACGCAGGGTCCATACCGACACAATTACAGCAGCCACGGTTCGCTAACAAGCACGCAACTGATGGAGTCGATGGCCGGAGTCACAACAGCCAGAAGTAGATGGTGTTTCAAGCAGCGCATCAGTGATGAGGCATGCCACACGAGATTGGGAGGTGCATGAGAGGAGCGCTCGGGGAGAGGGCAAAGAGGCATGGGAGAGGATACCAGCGGAGCGAAGTGAAGGAGAGAGCTAAAGGTATGGTCGTCGCAATCAAACGCATTGAACTCTGCTATTACTGCACCATTTCGAAAAATTCTTACGGTTCCGCATTCGTCGTACACTAGTGCCCAATTTCCCCACCGCAACTGAATTTCGACCTCTGGGTGGTTCATGGGCCCTTTAAAGTGCATTTAGCAATGTGAATTTAATGTGGTCTCTGCATTCACAGAGTACATGACAAATAACAACTGCAGGACTGGCTTAATGCAACTCTGCCCGAGTTCTGCAGAATGCAGACGCTGGAGCTCTCATTATTTGAGGTTTGAATGATGAAACAGAAGAGTTAGCTGTGATTTCCCTGATTCTGAAATATTTTCATACCTCAGGCAATTTCTTTGCGCTTCCACATAGAAAAAGTCAAAGATCACTGCATAAAGCTTTTAGTGACTTTGCTTTGTTTAGTGATTATCTTCCGAGCAGGTCCTAGCTAAATCAACTGATTTAACAGAAAGCTCATATAGCAGCTTCAATGAGATATTGGAAGTTCTTTACAATAGAACAAAATTTGAAATATTGCACAAGGTGTCTCCTGCCAGTGGTTACAACTACAAGTAGCAGCATTGAATATTACTACATTTATGTGAATCTAGGCCTGTAGATTTTTTTTCCCGTTTCAAATTTCTTTGTATCAAACACAAGGGTCGGGTTAGATTCGAGAATTTTGAATAACGCACCATTTTCCATCAAGAAAACTGGTGCACAACTAGCACCACATAGACGGTATTGTAGCCGTTATTAGCCAAGCCAACACCTGGCTTTAATACACAAGTGACGCCGTCATTTTGATCTTTGCGGCGAAGCGTTAGTCATATTGAGTTGTGCTTCGAGTGGTCTGTCCGTGGTGTAGCTCAATGGCGCAGTACTTGTATGTGGTTCCTAAGGCTTACTTTTGATCGGCTGAATACAATACATCGAGCAAAAGTGCTGAAAAGCCACAAAGATTCACTGAAACGGAAAGAAAAAGCTTGTCCACTAACCGTTGACCATACATCTCCGGCGCGATGACTTGGTCACCATGGTAGACAGTAGGCAAACCTTGGTTGGGGTGATGGCACGAAAACTGCACACCAGGCACTGCCGGATATGCTGCTGGCACCATTGGCGGCGACATAACAGAGGGCGGGGCTGGTTCGAAGTGGTGGGCGAAAACGGGCTGCAGTGTCATCGGCATTGTCCTGCTGTAGATAGAATCTACTGGCACGTGAGGCTGTGGCTTCACTGCGATTAGGGGCTTTTCCTGGCCCATACCGCACAAGGTTGCCGCCACCACGCTCCTCTCATCGCACTGGTGTTCTGCAGGGCCGGAGCCGTTTAGGCTGACGTCCGACGGAAGTCGAATGATCCCACCTTTGGCTGCCGACGAGACTGTGTTTTCGGGGGTCGCAGGCCGGTTACGCTTCTGGAAGCGGGGAGGCAGCTGGGACTCGTGTGTCTTCGGAGGGGAGGCCTTTTGGGACGAGGAATCATTTTTACAGTTCTTACGATGAACTTCTATAACATTGGAACGGTAGGTGGACGTTTCGCTAGAATTGTTTCTAAGGTTGTCTACAGTCTTGGCAAGTGAGTGCCTCTGGCGCTTTTCTTCCTCCACTACAGCTGCACTCCAGTCCTTTATGATGGGGGCCGGAACAAGTCCATTTCGGCTTAGAGTCGGGCCCTTGTCTTTCTCCTCTTCGGAACGTGACTCACGGCGATGCCTGTTGGTGAACTTGAGCCCACTGAAGCGACAGGGCTCAGGAGACGAGCTCTGGTAGCTGTTGTTTCTCTCGCGTTTCTTGGGCCCATCATTTTGCGACACCTGCTCCTGACTGTAGATCCTTGGGTGCACAGACGACTCCACGATGAGTTCCCCACTCCAGTCTTCCTCTGCTGTTGCATTGCCATCCGAGTGATGACTGTTTTCCGGCAACCCATTGACAGCCGTGTTTACGACTAGCTGGTCTTCTCTTGTCTTGTTTCGCCTCTTCTTAATTTTTTTCTTCATCCCTCGGCGACGGGAGCCATGCTCGGCCTCATCAACATCGTCAGAACCACTGTGTCGGGGCCCTTCAGAAAAGCTGTTCCTGCGATGAGAGGACGTAGTCTGAACAGGCTGGCCAGGTATCTGGGCGGAAACTCCTTGCTGAGGCTTATCAAGAGTTCCTGGGCTGTCGCTGATGTCCCAGTTCTCTTCAACACGAGTGTCGGGAAACGGGCCACTTCTCCTGCCATTGCCCCGTCGACTATATCTTGCAAAGTTCCGCTCGGACCTTTGATTCATGTGCTTTGGAGCTGCTGTGTTGCCCACAGGACTATAACGCTTACCCACGACAACTTGCTGCTTCGCTGCTGGTGGCCCGATGACTTCGATGGCTTTTGCGGTCTCTTTGGGATGCTCTGCACCATTCTCCGTCACTTTATTCTCCACTCGATGTCCTTGGTGGCCATTCTGAAGAGCCGATTCAGGGCGAGGATGCTGTTGCAGCTTCTGTACACTGATCTCTGCTTTCTTTTCAGAGGCAGGCTTTGTTCCCGCTATGGGAAAAGGTTTTGTAGAAAATTCTGGCCCCTTAGAGTCCACCACAACTGCCTTGGGTCGCCCTTCATGCAGAGCAGTGGGCCGGTCCTCTGAAGGCTTCACTAGTCGCGGTGTGTAGACGGGCTGGTCAGGTCGCTTGGCACGATTGCCCGACCACTTCCCATTGACGCCATCTCTTAGAGACAGGTCCTTCAAGCCTGGCACAAGGTTCTGCCCTTTGGCATCAGGTGTTCCGGATTGGTCAGATTTCTTTTGAAGCAAGCCCATGCCTGGCCTGTAGATAGCCATCTCGGGCTTGGACCTCCTGCTTTCTCTTTTGCCATCCGTTTCACCAGCAAGATCTGCACACAAGACAAAGCAGTGCAATGAGAAAGACAGTATACAAGTCTCATGCCTAATCTTTACTGCAGAAGCTAGTAAAGTAGCACTACCATGCAGGGCCTAGAAATCCATAGGTGGTATTACTTGCAGTTTTTATTTGAAGCGCAGTCACTTCAAAGAAACATGAAAGAGGACAAAAAAACAACTCGCTGCCAGATGGGACCGAACCCACAACCTCCACATCACATGTGTGGTGAACAATGAATGTCCCTGAGCTTTCCTTGTCTTCATATTAGTTGCATCTAACAAAAACAGACACCTACATCGATTCCCCTCCTACTCAGCAGCACATAGTGGAAGTCTCACAGCACACATTTTATTAAAGGGGCCCTGCAACACTTTTCTAAGTAGCCAGGGAATGAATTGGAAAAATGCAGCCACCCCTGGAGAGATTCAATCACGCGACCTGCGGGTCAGCAGCGGAGTACCTTATCCACTAGACCACCACGGCAAGGCTCCCTAAAAGATCTCACTGCGTCACGAATTCACTACCACAAAAATTTCCGAAATCCGCCCAGTACAAAGAAGTTGCAAAGATTTGTCACACGCCGCCATTGCATTCTCCCTTCTAGACGAAAGCATTGGAGCATAAGCAGGGAGGGATGGCACGGGAGAAGAAAATGCATCACCCATTCCTAGTGAGCTTGAGCACTTTTTTTTTGCTTTTTTTCTGTTGAGTAGGCTCATTTCAATGGGATGGGGCGCGCTTGCATGGACAAATCACGGCCTCCTGCGGCGGATATGCCTAGCTCAAATCAGCCAATGGCTGTGATGAGGGATTTCTGAGCTTGCAGTGTCATTTGTGAAGAGAATGCAATTTCTAGCCAACTTTGAGAATTTATGCAGCATTTTCTGACTACGCTCAAAAAGTATTGCAGAACCCCTTTTAACAGCAGTTTTTCTCTGCAAGATGTTAAACGTGACACTATAAGCATAAGGTGCTACATTAAGTTATGAAAAACTTTTCGTCTATTTAAATAGCAATGTACATAACATACTCACTAGAAACTGTCAGCAGAACAACTTTTTTTGTTGTTAAAGGGACACTAAAGTCAAATAACAATTTACGTCAGAGTGAAGGCTCAATGTATGACAATGTCTAAAACGACAATATCATGAACAGCAGTGCTCTACTTATCGAAAAATTAAGATAAATGCACAAGAACACACGCACCACAGTAGGGCATTCTCAAAATGATCCCGATGACGTCTGACAAGCTGCCTACAATTAATCACTAGTCATCTATCTAGCCGCTATAAATAAAGAGCTTCCCGTGCATCAAGAGGTGCACGGGAAGCTGCATCAAAAATGCTGCTTGTTCGTTTCTGTTTGATTCACGGAAAAAAAAGCTGGACGTTACTATGGGGGATCGCGCAAGTGGGTAAAAAATTCAATTTGTTGCGTGAATAAACGGGACAAGTCAGCCATCTCGGAGGCCACAGCAGGAAATTGTTCAATGGCCATTGTTGCTGCTGTGGCTCCCGCTACTTTCCCTCTGCTGCTACTGTAGTGTCGGCGGCCACTCATTAAAGCCGGGCAATGTTGTGCAGGGCAACAGTGACGTCAGACGTTCCGACTAGGCGGGCAATTTGAAGTGCGCTAACCCAATGCGGGCGGACCACTAGAACACGATTTTATTTCAAAACAAGCCCTTCCTCGGCCCAAAAGTAACAGTACGATGTTTTGTGGACCGCTATTTAAACAATCAACGTCGACTTAACAGTTGACTTTAGTGTCCCTTTAAGCTGGTGCTGCATAGTGAATGTAATGAGTGCACCCACAAGAAGGCACATGCATCACGGATAAATAAACTCTTGAACAGATCAACAAAAAGGTAAATGGGCGAAAACATGCTGTCGTAACAGTGCCACTTCAAGTGCACCGCACTGCGCGCATTAGCATCACAGACTGCAGGGGTAAGCAAGGGTGCAAGTGCTGCGGCGCAGTAGGTACAGCACTCCAGCATCCTGTAGATGTGCAGCGCGCATCAAATAATTTTTCCCCCCATGGCTCATCTTCTACGAGCAGAATTCTTCGGAACCCGGTGTAACCGAACATACAAGGCACAGCGCGTTCCGCAACACTTGCAAAAAAATGGCGATAAAGAAAGAAAAAAAAAATCGGGGAGCAGCATCTGTTACTCACGAAGGGCAATCATGCATGCGCGTTAACACACCACATGGTGAAAATTTTTCTATTCATTTGTATGTTTTTTTTTTTTTCGAGCTGGCGAGTCGCTTTAGAACGCACCTTTGTCACGACGCAGAAATCGCTCATCGATACTCGCAAGGCACGCGCACGAGATGACGTTGTTACAGCGTACATTACTCCCAACCTAAGAACATCGCTACATATACGCCGAGCGATGACCACACAATGCGCGATCTCTGAAAGAACGGTTGCTTCGCACCGCTACACGTTCAACGCACCAACAAATCGCAAAACACGCAGCCACTAAAGAAACGCGCTTACCTCACGCAGCTAGAAACTACGCACAATAATCGCGTAACCTCGCGCGGGAACATACTGATGTAGCCGATCCACAAAAAAAACACTAACCTTACCTCGGACGCCGTCCATGGCGAAATGCAGCCCAAAACTGTTTACTGCGTATCCAAGGCACGCTGTGTTTACCAACAAAACGAATAACGCAGAAAGACGTAGCGCGTCTGCTTTGTGCCTAGCACAGCGCGCCAGAGCCACTCTCGAATTCCAAACGTACCTGCACGATTATACTCCATCGCTTGTCGCTTGGAAGCACTCGTCCGCTCAACGTGTGATGCCTTTTGAACGTTTCGATGCATTCTGGACGGTCGGTCCGCCATGTCTCTCGATAGGAGATTTCCGACACCTGGTGTTCGTTCACCTCCACTCCAGACAACAAAAAAAGCCAAAAAAGTTGCGTGGCTTGCTACCTTAAATTTTATGTCTAAAATTTATTTTTTTAGCATCACGGTTTTTGTTTAAATGAGTGACGTTTCTTTTTGTAATACTATTTCAGCAATTGAGAGAAAAAAAACAAGCAGTATGGCGGCTTCCATAGAGCAAAAAAAAGATGGCGGCTCCCAAAAAGTACGTTTCTTTTTCGTTAAGCGTAAAACTTCACCCAGCCCGCTTATAACTGGAAAACTTTCGATCTAACACAAAATGCCAATTGTTGCTTGCTGCGAGGTGTCAAAAATGACGCCCGCCATTTGCAGGCTTACCGAAGCTAAATACGCAATGCCCAGCTATCAAGCGTTTGTTACCACACTTCGCATGGGTTTTACCGATCATACGCTGAACGACGCTTTTTTTTTTTAATATTTCACGTATAGAAACAAATTTTTTGTATAACCACAAGCAAAACTACAATCTATGCATTCGTTAAGCTTATTTTTGTTGGTCGCTGCTGATGTACTACTTGCGTGTTAAACAAAAGTGGATGTCTGAAGTTGTTTTCGTGAATCCTAGGTACGGGCTCATATTGCCAAAGAAAAATGACAAACCTGTTGTTTCTGCGACGTCTGTCTTTGGAGATGACAGCGACGATGAGGTGAGTTCTTGTTTTTTTCCGCAGTAATTGGCTCATCATGTTCAGTCAACGATTTAGTAAACGGATTTTGTTGGCCGCGCAATGCGAAAAGATGGATTTCGGTGCGAGCCGCAGCACTTTATTATTCCTGTCCAATAAATCACAAAACGTTGATGATGGCGTCGCTTCCAAGGTATGCTGATGTTATGCATGTCTTTCACCTCTCGCAGCACGACAAGGCGACCATCGAAAAAACTATGCGAAAAGAGTCGATGCGGAACCTCAAGAAAATTCAGGTACTGTTGAAGTCAAAACCCTGCTCTATTATGTTCGTACCGCGTGCGTTCTAAATGTAAACTAGCGCCACTTTGTAAACGTATCTCATGGCGTAAATGCTTTTGATTGATACTCCTTCGAATCCATGATTACGTGTTCTTGAAGTTACAGTGAAAAGAAGCGTATGGTGTTGCTGACAAGCATACCTATTGAAAAAGCCCACTGCTAGAAGCAATTCATGCACTGCTCAAACCAAGCGATGCGCCTTTATGCATTTTGTCAGACACTGTGATATTCATTTTGTTATTGTGAGAAAAGGTTATGCTTGCTGGTGTCATTCTGATTTCATGTGCCAAGATGATCTCAAGAACATGCATGGAAATAAGGAACGACTACTAGCCGATTCCTCAAGCCGCACACCTTATTTTGGTTACAGACGCAGCTTACTCTTCGTAAAGCAATGGAAGAAGACCCGTCTGTGTTTGAATACGATGAAGTGTACGACGACTTGAAGAAGAACAAGGAGGAAAAGAAGCAGGAAGTCACAAAAGACCGAAAGGTACAAGCCTTTCTTTCGAAGTTATGCTACACTCTTTTATTTTTCCTGTTTGCCCAACCCGTGCTGCAAGGAATATATAAAATTGGGTCAGTTGATATGTTACAGTGCTACATTTGTCTCCTCTGATCGATATCTCATTTCTAACGCCGCTTTAAAGTGTTTTTTACTCTGCTTAGTGCATCACGGTTTCGGAATTGGATTGTGTCTTACATTGTTGACGAAAGTTATTATAACTTGAGCTACCAATTGCTGTGAAATTTGGATTATTTAAAAACCTGCCTTGCTTAGCGCAACCTAGAAGAGCAGCAGCCTTCCGTCACTCATTGACAGACGTTTCTCGAGCCCAACCCTGTGTAATCAAATATTCTGGGCTCTCTGATTCAGCAATCCCCCACATGGCTCTAGCATATTGCGGCATTGGACGACATCGCAGCTGGTAACTTGCATTACTACTGTTCCCTGTGCAGCCTCGCTACATCGAGCAATTGCTCAAGTCGGCCGAGCTGCGCAAGCGAGAAGTCGACCGCAGGACGCAGCGAAAGATTCAGAAGGAGCGAGAGACCGAGGGCGAGGCCTTTGGCGACAAGGAGGCATATGTCACATCAGCCTACAAGCGCAAGATGCAGGAAATGCAGGAGGAAGAAGAGCGAGAAATGAGGCGCGAGCAGATGGACCGTGAGTGGAGGTCTTTCATACTCTTATGCACGAAAACCGAAGCATCAGCAGGGGACAGGTGCAGCGTTTGACATAGTCGACAGTTTTCGAATGCAGTACACATTTTTTTGCATTACTGTTTGTCGCCACTGCGCATGTGTCTTACCCTATTATTTTGGGCATAGAGTTTTCTATATATACTCTATAGGGAAGACGATAGTTATAGCGCGAGAACAAAATGACGACACAGAGATACGAAGGACTATCTCTGTGTCGTCGTTCTGTTCTCGCGCTATAACTATCGTCATGTCTTACCAACTAGCCCAAGCTGCCACACTTCGATAGGGAACTCTGGCGCTAGTAGCACCTGTGGGAGCTGCAACAAGCGTGCTGCAGCCAGCATGGCTATTTTTGGTGGTACACAATTTTGCCTAATCTTTGTTCTTTCGACTTCGTTTGGCTTTGTATAGCCTGAAGCAGCTTGGTATCGAGATGACAATCAGCAATTCGAATCATGAGGTTCACAGCAGTGTATTCTTTTGTGCAAAAGAAAGCCAAAACAGGGCAATAAACAAAGCTACAAACACGAAGGCTAGGCAAACTTATGTGCTACCCGTCATTCCCATGGCGAATGAATGATCACAGCGCCAGAGTCCCTTCTAGTTCATTTTAGTAAACTATACTCCTAGGTTTAGCAATTAAAACCATGTTTAGTGACCAAAGTGGCGTATCGTCCTCAACAGGCACTAATGCTACGAAGCATGTTCAAAACTGTCTATTGTTCCATGCAGATATGGCCCTATGAGAAATAGCAAAACACATGGAGTACTCCTTTTCATAGAAACACAAAGCAAAACAAGTTTAACAAACACCTGAGAAGCGAAGGTACTTTTCTTTGCAATAATGTAATGAGAATGTGCTGTTCCATTATGCTCATACAGTACTATTTGCATATTATGTCAGATGTTCATCTATTCAAGCCAAGCTCTTTTTCCTAAAGCCTGGAAAATGGAACTTTAAACTGAAATTCCTAAAGCAGCACTGCTACTGTAACAATATGACAGTAGCACTGTTACTGTCATTAGAAACGTGAAATCCTTTATGTACAGAGGCTCGAAAATAAACAAAGCAGTGCAAAAAAATGCTTGCCAGTGGAACTAATACAGATATGAAGGGCATTACCTTTCGCTTCAGTTGATGGAAACTTTTCTATATTTGTCTGTTGTTTTATCAGCATATGCTGCACTGAATGGAAACATGTGATATCCCTTTATCTTGCACTGTATAGACGAGTTTGTAAAACAATCACTTCATTGTCTCATTTGCATTAGAAAGATAACCTTCTTAGGAATCTAAGTAATAACAAGCGTGACTTGGTTCTGCTTTTTTTTTTACTCCGTAACTGCGCAGAAATGATGGACGTCACAAAACAGAAAGACCTGAGCGGCTTCTACCGCCATCTGCTGAAGCAAGAAGTAGGGGAGGAGAGAATACCACAAAACACGGACAAGCCTATACACTTGCCAGAGAAAGAAGAGAAGCCCAGAACTTCCAAGAGCACCAAACAGCCTTCTTCGGCTGGCCGTTCTTCACAGGGAGACCACAGAGCACCTTCGTCATCATCTAGCAGACGTGAAAGAGACGATGAAGACGACGAACATAGCACACGTCAAGCAACCAGCAAAGATTGCAGTGAGAACACATCCAGAAAGGACAAAAGGGCTTACAGAACAAGAAGGATCAGCAATCCATCTGAGGAGGATAGTTCGCCACCACGCAACAAGCCCTCTACGAGCGAGAAAGACATAGACAGAGATATAGATGCCGACAGCGACTTTGAGGTGGACTCTGAAGAATCTTCTGATGAAGATGAAAGCCAAGCTACTCCACAGAAAGACAAGGAGAAGACTTCAGTGCTGAGCAGTAAGCGTTTGAAGGAGGACTGGTTGGAAGCGAGTAAAGGCAACGTAAAAGAAGCTACCGAGGAACCTGTCACAAAAACAATTGTCCAAGACTGGATGGCCCTCTTCCGTAAAAGGACAGTTGGAGACAAGTTTGACGCAGCCGTGGCGCGGTACTTTGAGCGTAAAGCAGAGATGGATGCCTACAAGAGCGTGCACGGTAGCGTGCAGTAGCGTGCTGCCAGTTCTTAATTCGCCTTGAGTCGCTCAAAGTGTTGCCAGACCCATTCCTGTAGTGGCATCATCTCACTCGCAGCTTGTGGGAATGAACATTCTTCATATTTCTACAAGCTTCAGCAGAATGAAAAGTGGCTCTCTACAAAGAACTCCCGCAACCGTGATGACTGTACAGTTGCTCTTAAGCAACAATTACACCTCTAATGCTTTGAAGAGATGGCACTCATGTAGATACCATATCCACAGAATAATAATTATGTGCCCATGTGTTGAGTTACTGTAATGTTATCTGCCATCCAAAGTGTTCTCAAGTGTGGTGGTGGACAGTACATGCATCACATTGGATGCAGTGAGTGAACAGAATCAAATAAAGATGTACAGATTCGCCGTGTAGTAAATCACTCAGTGTTTAAAAAAATCTTCTGAAGCTGATTTTGTTCATGATCCTTCTGGTAAGCTTTTTTTATTATTAGGTATATTAACTAGAGTAAAAGGTCTGTTAAAAGGGCCTTGCAACACTTTTTCTTTGAACAAAAGTAAAAAAAAAACGGTGTCAATCTGCAGTTAAAGGGGCCCTGAAACACTTTTTTCAGTAACCATGCAAGTAATTCACTGGAAAAGCATATTACCTCACAATTGAATGCCGCAAAAATTTTAAGAATCTGTCGAGTACGAGCGGAGTTAAAGATTTGTCACACGCTGTAATCACATTCTCTTGTCCAGACGAAAGCGCTAGAAGCTAAGCAGAGAGGGATGAGAGGGGCAAACAAAAAAGGTCACTGGCGCCTCGTGACCTTGAGCGCTTTTTTTTTGTATACATGGTTTTTTTTCTGGTGCAATCTCGTGCGCACACGTGGACAAGTGACAGCCCTCCGCGGCAACCTCTGTAACAAACGAGCATGCCATGTTTAAATCAGCCAATAGTGGCTAGATGGGCTTGCTACGAGTGGTTCTTGGGCTTATTCTGTGATTTGTCGAGAGAAGAGAAAGCTATTTTAGCTGACTTTGATAATTTGTTGCGAATTCCACGTCGTGTGCTGCGCTATAAAATTTGGCTTGCGTGTTGTCGGGATCCTCTACTACCGATCGGCAGTGTTTTCTGACCATGCTGAGAAAGTGTTGCAGGGCCCCTTTAAGGCTACTACTGCAAGCATGCAAGTCAGGTATTACTGCACTATCTATAGGAGGGAATTTACAATTTTATGTTGTTGTAAAAGGCAAAAATATCCCTTGATCTTTCTTTTGCAGTGTTCTTCTAACTAAACTACAAGCAGCAGTCTTGTACTGGCAGGTCTCGGAGGCTACAGGTATGGCCTCCGAGACCGCGATGATCATGTGCAGTGAGAGCAAATCAACTGTGCTCAGTACAGAAGAGCTAAACGGCTAGCAAATGCAGAAATGGTGCAGGGAAACAAACACCACACTCAACTACAATATAATGTGGTTTATTCGGCACACTGAACAGTACACTTCACAAAAGTTGTGCACGCTATACGACTGCAGCCATGTCTGCAAGATATGTGTGAATTACTCATTAACATTTTTATATACAGTGCCTGCTAATTGAAATAGGGATGTTGAAAAATGCTCTCATTCATTCATTAATCACACGTCGATCTGCTAGGTACATTTTCTTTGTTCTTACACTTTCACATGTAAGCAAAAGCACACACATATCAAGCTCATAATATAACAATTGAATGTGTGTTATCTGGGTAACCGCTAGAGCTGTTTTGTTACAGTTACCGTTTATACTGAGGCCCACAACCAATGAGAAAAGGTAACTGCAAATATGGAGGGTAGGGTGCAGATGCCGAAATCAACAGAAGACCTATGGCAAAAATTAGCCCTTAAGTTGCCAGACTTTGTTTTTGTTACTGTAAGTACACCTATGCTCAATTCATACTCAATGCCTCGAAAGGGTTGTTTTGTTTGCACTTGTATGAATGCAGTGATTGCGTAGATGGTGTAATTCCAGAGCACTGCTTCTGTACCTATTCAATCATGCTTCAGCATTCCTAAGGATATTTCTAAAAAAGACTATGTAGATATGAACTAACAAAGACCACAATTACAAAAAATTTTTGAACCTCACTGTTATTTCCAAGCACATAACATAAATGTACCACTACTAAAATGTGCTTCCCTGAAGTACCCTAGGGAAGTTATACGGGAAAATCAAGATGTGTTCTTTAAGGCCAATAAAATTATTTTTTCCAGACATTCCATTTTTGCAACAGTGTACACCATTTCAGGATAAAGCACAGGATACCACAATTAATGATCGACAATGCACACAAGGCGACAATCAAATGAAGAGTTTACTTGTGCCAAAATTTTAGGTTCACTATTTTATTACACGTGTAACAAGCACGTCACAGAACTTCCATGCAGAGTATGAAGCAAAGCTTTTCAGACACAAACTAACTGCAGTGAGAAACAGTCTTTGGGAAAGCTAATTAGCTTTGCAGGAACCACTCACGATTATTCTATGCAACAGTGTAATCATCACAGGGCAAAAGACTTCCGTCAGTTTATATTGTCATATTTATACTTGCCATTCAAGAAGCTTCTGCAGACAAATCAACTGGCATTTCATTCACTAGAGTAAAGGCAATAAAACAAAAGTAAAAACTTGTGCATGACTTATTTTGCTTTGCCTTGTAATACAAGCAAGCTTCTGCAACAGGCTCAAAATCACAGCTCTGTGCTTCATAGAAAAAAATGTCTGAAAGTTGCTCTTTCTCAGCTTCCAACACAACTCTTCAAAGCACTCTTGTAAATGCTGCACAATTACAACTGTGTGCATTTAGTAAAAAATGTTGATTTTTTTCATCGATCAATCAACTACATGCAATCTCCACCTTGAACTTTACTAGTTGCAACACTGTCGTAACGATGTTCATCTGTTGTCCTATTCTTTCATGCAATGTTAACAGAAAAGAAACACAAGTATAAGTATCACTGTGTGCCATCTCACAAAATGGCATGCAACACTGACATCTGTGCATTTCTGCACATCAGACAGCAGTGTTTTTTCTTCTTCCACATCACCACGTTCAAATGCATTAAACAAACAAAGCATCCTTATGAAATATAGATAGCTGTGCTGCAGTGGCATTGCAGCATGCTGTTGAAACATGGCTTCAGCATGTAATGCGATGCATTCCTGTCTACAAGTGGTACTAACGATGCATCCTGATATCGCGAGGTTCGAGTGTGTCCAACAAACAGCTTTATCTTATCAGGATGAAAGCCCATTTGTTTTCACATTTTTTTGCAGTTCACACACAAAGCTGAAACTGATATGGCGTAACATTCATCTTACGATGTCCCAAAATGTCTCTAAAGGGTATGTCTTCTCACAACAAAAAATTAACTGAAAGCAGGGCGTTATTCACCGACAGCGCGCTTTTTAATTGCACAAAGCGGCAACTTCCACTTATTACGGTGGCAGCTCAACAATATCATTTGAAGTAGCTCCAGGTAAATTTCCTATCACAATGCACACAGGAAAAATAGTGCCCATTATGCACACGTAAGCTTGCGATCGGATGAACCATAAACAGGCAGCCTTTTGTTTCCGGCACTTCTCATCATCGCACATTTCCGATTTCCCAACACGTATGTTGCAAAAGTTCCGTCTTGCGCTTTGGCAGTTTTTGAACATAGCACAGCAGCAGTCCTAGCGATACATTTAAACAATAAAAAACATATATGCCATAAAATTGTTCAGTGTAAAAAAAAAATATTTGTACATTTAAACGAGGGGATGTTTGCATGTTGCAGGTAAATGCTGCAGCTTAATATGAACATGCCTAGCATTCAAACCCCGAGAAGTTTGTAAAATAAGCAATGGTACAAAACATGGAGTCCATCGAGTGGTGACCTAAATATATGATTTCAGAGCTTTCCGTAGGTGACACCGATTGAGTCCTGAAGACCCGACAGAAAGTCCCTGCATGGTGCAAAAGAGAAAAAAAATTATGTGCCAGTACTATATGATCATTTCTCTATCATTTTGTTTGCAATGCAAAACATGTTATGTTTGAGATGCCAAAAATAAAGGAGAAAAATGTGTCGTACAAATTACACAAAGTAGAAGTTCTTGCAAACATTTTTTTTTTCTTTTTGAAGAATGCCGGTTAAGACATACTACAGTCAAATCGCGATAATTCGAACTCAAAGGGGCCCGAAAATTTGTTCCAAATAAAAGAAGTTTGAATTAATGAAAGCTAAATAAACGGAGGGCTCTCCATACAGTGGCGCATGTGCATTGAGCTAACACACGAGGGGGAAAGACTTACATTTATTCACAATTCACAGGACATCCATTATTAATTGAAGTAATTGGTCAAGGGCGTCTGCACACGTTTGCCTTGCAGCAAGTCAATCATTTCCGCATGCAGCTTGCAAAGCATTTCTACTTTGGCTTCAGCATTCTCCTGGCAAGAGAAGTTGCGCTGCAGAAATGTCCAGCGCTGACACTTTCTAAAGACGACGACAACAACGACTGCATAGTTTCTCCACTACGCAGTCGCAGCATGGCCAGCACATGACGAGAAAGGAGGAGCGTCTCTAAGCAAAGAGAAGCAGATCGGCATTTGAGAGAAAACCAACACTCCACGCCAGCTTTTTATTTCTTTTTGCTTTCTTCGCGCACGTTGTTGAAAGGAGAAGGGTTACACGGCAGGGACGAGAAAGGGGGAAGCGTGGCACCGGCGCATGAGAGATCCCTTCCCCTCAAGGCGCAGAGTCGTGCTCCCACAAGGAACAAGGGCTGCAGAAGATAGTGCCTTTTTCCTTTCCTTCAACCACAAATTCATTCAACACAGCGACAGCTTTTTTTTCTCTCTCTCTCTCTCTCTCTTCGCACGCAGCGTTGGAAGGAGAAGGGTCTTTACATGGCAGGGACAGAAAAGGGAGAAGCGTGACACAGGCGCGTCGCAGATCCACATTTGAGAAAGAGCACACATTCTACCGCAGCTTTTTCTTTCCTTTTCATTTCCTTCGCGCGCAGCGTTGAGGTGTCGCAGGTGCCCCTGCGGGACTGGGCGGGGTGCTGAGAGCATTTTGGGAGCGTAGTATGTTCGAATTAACCGTCGCAAGTGTTTGCGCATTCGAATTACCGGGCGTTTTTTCCCATTGGAATACACATAGCTTTGACGGGACCTCATTGTGAGTTCAAATTAACCGGAAGTTTGAATTAGGCATGTTCGAATTATTGAGATTCGACTGTATTTAGAAAAGTGCAATTCGAATTCGCCAAAACATCACACAGTTTCACTTCACAATGGTATCAAATTTTGGCACCAGGAGACCACACACCAAAAGGGATCATATCAATAAGGTTTTACAGCAGGTATTTAGTTTCGAACAGCCTATATATTTAGAGGGACTGTCTGCAGGAAATACTCCGTGCACTACTTTCAAGTGACACACAGTAAAGATAAAAATAATTTTTTGTCGTATTACTAAGTTACTCGTTCACAATTCCAAACTCACCATGCTTGCCAACAGAAGGTGCTTAAAATCTGAGAAAACACTCAAAGAGACTACGTGCGTGGCGAGACCACCTCGAAATTCCCGCACCAGACACCGTGAAGTCATCCATTATGGCGATTTCTACTTCGTTATACATAGTTCCCAAATCGTTGAAAGTGATTGTCCTCTGATAGGGCCATGGACCTAACGTACTGATTTTTAGGAATTTTCATTGCGCCAACACCACCAAAATACAAAAAATGCACTCTGAAATTTGTGAGGTCACGCAGAGAAATTTTGCCGTGAACTTTGAAAATGACACTTTGGTCTTGATTTTCGATATTATTAACGAACATTTGAAGGTGAAATTATTGACATTTCAGTGTTTAGAGCGCAATTCATCAATCTGAACCAATTCATTTTCCCACTTTAGTGTCCCTTTCAATGCTCATGCTTACCCGAACCCTTCGTTATTCTATCCTAACTCACTTTAACACACCTATATAATTGGTGTAAAGTGAATATAAGTCACTGTTCTTATCACTGAGAAAGCAAACACATGGGTCTAATGTTACAAAGAAAGCATGACCTACGAAGAGCACAGAAGAGTGCCTTAGATTAACTTCTAACCACCTGTGGTTCTTTGACGTGCACCTGAATTCAAGCAAGCGTTTCCACTTTCCGTCCCCGTGAAAGTTCAACGGCTGCTACTTTTAATACTACAGCTGAATCCCCACCACAGATGTGCGCACGGGAGGGGCAAAGTCTGCCCATGCAACGGCTTAATAGAGAGGGAGGCACTGCGAGGTACCTTCGCCATTACTCAAGGGGAACCATGTGCACGTCTGTGCCCTCGACTATAACTGAACCTACGACCCCTCTACAAGATGGGCTGGTCACTGTGTATTAGGATATGACAAACCGGTGCTGTAATGCACTACGTACCCAATGGTGGCCTTTTCATCTCCATTCTTGAACAGTTCTTGAAGCTCTGCGAAGAGTCAAGACAAAGAAATAAGATTTCTTTTCAACCACAGTGATGCTGCTTGGAAAGAACAGAGGAGATTTTACTCTTGACAAGCTTGAGTACAGTGTGGTACAAACTCACTGAGAATGTTCAGGACTGCATCTTTAGAGGTATAGTCTTATGGATGACATTAAGGGACAATCTTTACAGTCCTCTTATAAGTTTTGCTGCCACATGTGAACAATCCTCCCATGAAAACGAACGTCTGGACACCAATTTTTCTAATGTCTGCGCATGTGGCTTCAAAAGTACTCATGGAATTTCATTCATCTTGAGGAGTTTCCATGCACATAAGAGAAAGTTTTTTTAATACAAGAATAGCAACTAGTGTCTGTGTAGATGTACACACACTACTTGTGATCTAACCCTTTCACAACCTAAAGAAAATAGGAGGAATGTATTAAAATTACTAAAAAAATGTTTCTCTCAAGTTGTAAAGCTTTTTTTTTAAATAAAGTGGTACTATTTCTGCAATTCAATCTAGTCTCTTTATTTCACTAATCATGTAAAAAATGATAACCTGAAGGGGGCTTCACGACATGACAACACTTTGAAAAATGGCAATAAAATGTAAGCCAAAACATAAATGTCAAAACGTGGACACAGATGTGGCTATCTAGCATTGAAAAACACAAGTATGATGAGCATAGTCGTCACTGGTTCTGCGTGGGATAAATTTTTTTTATAACATGTATACACTCAGATCTTGTTATAACAATGTTGCATCTTACACAAAAATATGTACGTATTTTTATATAAAAATTTGTTATCGAGGTATATTTTTACACTGTATCATATTCACTCGCCCAATAGGTGCACCCCCAGTTCGGTTGCAAGAAATCAGTTATTTTTTTTTATTTCTGCACACCCCAAACTTGGCCATGATCAGTAGTCCTGTACCGTATTAGCACGATTGCAATTCGATGCCCCTTTACCTTAACAGAAACGAAGAAAAAAAGAAAAGAAAATAGACCACGACAGCGATGCGCCAGCTCCGGAAGCTCACCAAGAAAGACAGTAGCCTGGGTGTCGCAGTAACCTTTGCACCGCCCACAGTAACCATGTGGCTCTGGCCACTAGCCGGCCGCATGCACTTCGTATGGGATTCCCGATCGTGTCTTTGTCAAGTGTGCATAGAGTTTCCTCTCGGGAAAAGCATTCTCGTTATCACATTTGCTGCCTCGTCTGCAAATTTAAAAGCTTTTCGGCTTGCTTTCCAACGCAAGTGCTCACCTTTGTTGTTACTACAAAGATTTTTGCATGTGCACTACTCCTGGATCAGTGATTGAGTGGGATCTTTTCGATGCCCAATCTTCATGTTGTCTTGTACAAACTTCCCACCACAAAATGCCGAACCCTTGGCTAGGCCTAATCACCTTTCGGTGGCGGTCAATCGAAGTTGGCATTTAGTACGAAATAAACTTAACTCTTTGCGGTCGCTTACTTGAAGAGAATTGGTCAAGGGTGGCACGTGTATCGCATCGTTGTTCACCATTCGATTGCAATGTTTTTGGATACAGGTGCGAGCCCGTGAAATTGAACAATCGGTATCGTTCAGGCCACAAAATTTCGGTCATGAAAATGCACACAATCTAGTTGCCTGAAACGTAATAGGCAAATTTCTGCGAAGGTGCATTTTTTTCGTATTTTTTTTCTTTTTTATGCTTATTTTGCTGGCAACACAGATTTTTCAATGTTAATTTTTGCAAACGTGAATGCACACCACATCGCCAGCCTAAACTCTCGGACACGCGAGACTGCATGCTCAACATGTTTGCGCTAATGTAGCCTATAAAGAAGGTTGTTTTGGCTGTAGTGACTTGGGCGACGTGTGCGTTATCAGTGGTCTATGCTGTAGTCGGAAATAAAATTTTCAGAAATTTTACCCCGCGTAATAGGTGCACCCCGAACTTGGAGCCATTGTTTCTGGGAAAAAAGTGCGCCTATTAGGTAAGTAAATATGGGTATCTATTGCAAGGCTATTCTTCATTTACTTCATTAAAACAAATATTTCATTATATCCAGGTTCATTATGATCAGGTGTGAGTGTAGACGTCATCGGTCATTTTGTTAGAAAATCTCATCACTATACTCGGCAACTATCACGAAAAGTCTAATGCAATTATAAAATAACATCACGTTGAAAACGATTAACTGAACAGCAAAGCAATTTGAAGCCGGAAGGATGACATAGAGGCAAGTCCTTGCAATGCCCATCAATCTCATGCTAGACGATACAGCCAATTTGAATCCCTGTTATAAACACTAGCTCCAGTGATTTCTCCAGTAACTTTTTAATAGACTCTATGCAGAATAGCAACATATTAGTTCAAGTAATTAACTTGATAGCTTCTAGGATTTCACATGCAGCTTCAGCTGATGCAAATTTGAGGGCAGTTAAGGATCCCTGGGAGAGGCATTGCTCGGCAATGCACTTCATTATTAATAGACTGATAATGAGCATACTAATGAACAGCGAATAAAATGGAGACGACAAAGCACACTTTTCCAATGTGATTTTCGTAGAGTGGTGCCCTGAGCAACCACACCCAATTTCTCACTGAAAAAGGATCACACAATAACAGCAGCACAGCAAAGCAATCAAGCTGAGGCAAATATCTATCCCACGGAATGTGTTCAAACAGTGAAATCAATTAGGTTGCTGCAAATAGACAAACAACTGTGACATGTTATGTGACTACGTGAAAAAAATACTCTATAAAAAATGCTCTATTATATGGTTGTTGCCTAGAGGCAAACGTGCTTGTCCCTGGAAAAAAGCAAGCACAAGTGCTTGCCAGAAGTCTGCTTTTTAAAAAGGAAAGGCTATGCATGAAAGCCAAAAGAAACAAAACATCACTGGTTGATTTATCAGTTGACTGACTGAGCATCTTAAAACAATACTGCAGGATTTAAGAAAGGCACAGTAGCGACAAACCCTGGATTAGATGATCTGGTTCCCTTCAATACACAATGAGCACACTGAACCACACCTTCAGTTTCCCTTTGGTGAAACTCTGAAGTAGACGCCTCGATAAGTTTAGCAGCTTGCTCTAGCTGCCTGTCGATGGGACGGCTTTTTGGTGCTGTTGTTGCGTTCTTTTGCGACTTCGTCTCCACTGCTACTGCTACCATCATTCTTTTTCTCCGATATCTGAAGCCTGGCAGTGACATGCATCAATTCTGTCGGTGTTATCTGGAACAAAACATTCAATGCAACTTCAACTTCTCGCAAAAGTACGTAATCGCAATGCACCTTCTGTGATGTGATTGGCTGAAGCTATTTTGAAGCAACTAAAAGTGTGCTCTGGAGCAGCCAGAACTGCATTTTGGCGCAACAAAAAGCGTATTTCAAAACAGGAAAAAAGGATTTTCGAACTCCGAAAGGCTCATTTCCGAGTGGTAAAATTCAATTTGTGACAACTAAAAACAGTCAAGCAAAGCATAATCAAATAGCATTCCATGATATTTCCAGCAAAAACAGCTCGGACTATTTATAGTATAAACACTTACAGCACACTGCAGGAACGACTGTAATGCTGTCTTTTCTTACTCCTGTTTATCCTTCTATAGAAATCAATGTATAAGCAAACCGCTTATTGCACAGCCCATGAGATGCAAGACAGGTTATGATATGGCTCAGATAAGCAAGGTAATGACTGCGCTTCTCAATGAAAGTACGCCGGCTGAGGAGAGTGCGATGCAGGTATTAAAAAGGAGCATGGGACGTGGAGCGATCTAACAAAGAGCAGGTGTGCTATTCCAGACACTGACTAACTCCACCATATTGTCAAATTTCGTAATGACAGCATTTTAGGCCAATCAGGGAGGTCACAGCAGTCAACTAGGCCAGCCAATCAGCATCGATCAATGGCGCAAGGTGACAACATGGCAGAATTCGACAGTGTCCAGAATGATGCCCCAAAGCAGGAGAAAAAACAAAAGTATTGTGTTGCGGGCGAAGGGTGTGAGAAAAGGGTTGTCTACGCGCCAAAGACACCTCTGCTGTGGCCACTTGTAGGACGTTTCAGGTGCATGTTGGCACCAACTAGGCGCCTGCATAGAAGGGACACTAAGGAGAAACAATGACTTGGTTTAGATTGAAATACTGCACCCTGAGAACTCTGATGCCATACAATTCACTATCATAAGTTAATTATTAGCAAATAAAACAAAGGTTGAAGCTTCATTTTCAAATTTAGTGCCAAAATCTCAGCACACAATGTCGGAAATTTCAAAATGTATTTTTGGTATTTTCATGACATTGACTTGATGAAATTTTTTGAAACTTCTTACGCTAGGTCTATGGCAACCACAGATGACAATATACTTCATTTTCTTCAATCAGATGCCACACAGGACCCAGTAGATGCTTTCGAAATCGGTGAAATCACGGTGTTTGGTGCGGGCAACTCAAGGTGGTGTCTCCACCCGCGCATTTTCTTTCCTCGCGTTTTCTCGGTTACCAAGCCTCATGTCGTGTTACGAGTGATGTTGGAAAGTGATGTTGAGGATTGTGGAAATGTACTTTACTAATACAGTCGCCGACCGATTTTTCGGAATGGGCGGGGACCGAAAAAGGTCCAAAAAATCTAAGAGTCCAAAACACTCGTTTTTGTCAGAAATATCCGCCACCGACGGCTGCGGGCGATCATCGTCAACATCATCCGAACGGCTCTCCGGCTGCGGCATAACCTGGCGAGGAATTTCTTTGTCTGTGGGCTCTGTGCACGAAATTGTCACCGTGCGCACGAGCGAAAAATGTCATCTTGGCAGGCGCATTCACTATTCTAGGGACTATACTACAACCATACATTCACTTCACCACTGCGCAGCTCCGCTTTCTCTCTGTGCGGTGCGATGACGACAGCGCTGACCACTATGGCTGACCGAAGACAAAAAAATTATCCCGTGCTACAGTGGCTAGAAGAGGGAAGTGTGAAGAGCGGCAAGCGGCGCCTACAGAGCGCACTGAAGCCTCTGAGGAGGAGCCGTGTGGAGGCGTGTGCAGTCGTTTATATGTTGTTTGCGGGTTTTTGACAGTTCGGTCGGGCGCGCTCGTCCTCGTTTTTTTTTTTTTTTTTATTGCGGAGGCACTCTGACACCATTGCTTCTGTATGAATCCCATGGCGCGAAAACAAAGTAATTTCTTTGTCCCAGGGTGCACTACAGGCTACAAGTCAGCTAAAAAGAAGCATGCATTGTTCAGCGTTCCAGAGGACGAAGCTATGTTTGCGCAATGGCGAAGAGCAATGCCGTGCGCTGACAAGCTGCTTCAAGAAAACTCGACTGTGTGCGAGCCGCACTTCAACGAGAGCTACATCTTCCGGCACTTCGAGCACACTATGAATAGCGAAATTGTCCGCATTGAAAGGGGCAGGCCCATAGGCGTGCTTGCCATTCAGGGAGGTGGGGGGGGGGGGGGGGGGGGGGCGAAGGTTCATTGCGGGGCGCTTCCTCCCTATTAAATAAGTGGATGAGGCAATTTTATGCCTCCCTTTTAGATGACTAAAAGAGTGCCCCACTGCCTAGTCAATGTATAGAGCAGACTTGGCGCCCCCTTCCCAGGTGACTATAGAGGGGGGCAACCGCCCCTTTTGCCCCCCTCGTGCGGACGCCTATGGGTAGGCTTTTCAGAGAGGCTCTTCCCATTTGTAGATGCCATTGAAATCACTTTTTCAAAGTGGTTTAGCTACAACGAGCTTCACAGTAAAGCTTGGAAGAGCTTGTTTCCTGCTTGAAAAAAAAAAAAAGATGTCACTCTGGGCTGCGCACAACATGATCCGAGCCTCACCAATCAAGTGACCAAGTTTTTTTTGCTCACCCGTTTGCGTTTCTACACAGCTCCACAAGGATGCGAACATCTTCCCGTGAAAAGAGGAAGTAGCTGAAGCTCATGCGCATCACCTAGGCTTGCAGCCCAATGTTCTGTGGAGCGCTAGTGAAGTATGAAACTTTTTTTCTTGGGGATTAAAAAAGACACGCGACCAATCATTAAGAATGCATAGTTGTAAACAGGTGGTGAGTCACTACTCGGAAATGTGTCGTATGACCTGTGTGCAAAAAATAAAGGTTTTTGTCCAGATAACGCTCGTGATACTTGTCTCTGACTTTGACGTTACGAATGATGGGGCTTTATTTACAGGTTATTGCTATGAGCAAATGATAGTTCATCGTTGAAGTGCTGCAAGCAATGGCTCACAACTTATTTCATCGTTCCACTCTTCTACCACTTCAAATCAATAAAATGTTTCAGTGTCGTCACGCGCTCACTTTCAGCCCCCTATCGATATTTCAGTTCAGTCGCGCACCCGCATAGGCATCCTGTTATTCCAGAAGCTAATTAATATATTTTCTTGTTCGCCACTTGAGGCTATGCACCAGCAACAACATATATTTTAAATGTTTCATATTGCCCGCACGCGCGGTTGATTTCCGCCTCTGCGCAGCGCATTGCCGCCTTGAGTGATGTGCAAGCGTGTGCCACCGCCACCTGGCGGTTTGCTCCCAAGGGGTTACACACAAGATGGAGCGTTCATCACACTTTCGTATTCTAAACACTGTACCCGTGCTGCATTTTCTAAAGCAGACACAGCCTCCGAAACTTGAAATATGACGTTCACTTTCCAATCTCAAAGGCAGAAAAGCCATCTTAAAATTAAGCCACTAAGCTTAGTCAAGCCGGTAGAAAATCCAACATGGTGGCGTTCGTAATATTCCGTGGCGCAGGCTCAAAACAAGCGATTTAGTTCGAAAAACCCAACTTTCAGGGTCGAATTCGTCCCAAAAATTGGTCGAAAAAATGTATTAGCCCTATGAGAACTCTGACGGTGCACTTTTTAAGTCCGAAATATCAAACAAGTCCGAATTTTCGGAGTCCGAAATATCGGTCGGCGACTGCACGTGAAAATTCATTCTGCTCTTCAGTGTCTTCTTTAAATGTACGATACTGCTGGTCAGCTTTTTATCGGGAAAATAGTCATGTTGTCACAGAGTGCAGGTATTACACATGCGACCTCAGTCCTATCATCAATAAATGCGGTGTCCTGCAAATGTAAAAGCTTTGTGATGCAGGCTTTCGTATTTGCCACCAGCAGGTGGGCTTATAAGCTTGGTAGGCTAATGCAGGATAGTTGTGGTGGCTGTTTTTTCCACCGTGAACCCTAACTTGGTTTTACATGTGCTGCCCTTGGTTGAGATTATAAATGCAATCTCTTCTGCGTCCGATCTCAGGATGTCCTCCTCACGAGTCGCATGCCAAGTTGCAAGCCTGCAGGCTAGGCCTAACATGTGCTAACCGCTTAAATGCCATTGGTATAACACCAATCCACGACGTATTTCTGCTCGTATAACACTGTTTGTATAGTAACACCGAACCACGGCGTATTTTACGTCATGGTTCAGTGTTTTACGAAAGGTTTCTCCAGCCACCGTGCATGATACAAATGGGCAATTGACCGGTGCATGCAAGCAGAGCAACACGGCTTGTCTGTGGGAGGAAGGCCCATTCACTCTAGGCCTCGAAGGCAGTGAGTGCGGCAAAACTCGCCAGAATTTTCCTCACTTTAGGGGCCAGAAAAACAAGCCGCGAGGCCAACGCAGAAAAATCAGTCAGGGAACAATAGTCCCTCCACGCCATAGCAAATCGCCTTTTTGCTTCATGGCTTTGGCTACACCAGCTGCTCTAGCTCACAAACCACGTTATGTAAACAACCAGCAGTAAATTCAACATGGTGGCAAAGGCGTCGGTGGTGAATTGCGTCAGGTGCTGTCACGAACTGCCCGTGCAGCATGTCAAAGCTCCCAGCCTTGACAAGGAGCATTCATTGGGAGCCTGGTTTGGATAACGATTGCTGAGAACACAGCAAGTAGAAAAAGGTGGAGCAGAAGCGAGACGGCATGCCTTAATGCAGTGGTTTTCAGCCATGGAAGTGTCAGGGGCCCTTTGTGGACTGGTGGAAGTGATGGGGGACCCGTTGCCGTGGAGGGGAGAGAGGGTTACGCAGGTAAATTCACACAACTGGAACGTGAAACAGGTGCCTTTTTATTGCTACCGAAAATATCAAACAAATTTGCCACACCACTTTATTTCGGACAATTCATCGATACTTGAAGAAAAATGCAAATGAGGGTTTCCCGGATCATAGAAATAGCTTCATAGAAATGAGGGGGTCCGCAGATCCCCACTTGAGAACCGCTGCCCTGACATGTCTCACTTTTGCACTGCCGGCTGAATCCTTTGCCATCGCTGCTTTTGCTCGTGCCGTTTCTGCTGGCGTATCTTTCGAAACAACATTTGTGAAGGTGTAAACTGTTTTTTTTTTTTTTTTTTCAGTGCTTTACGAGCATAACTAGAGCTTGGTACAAACTTTTATCTCAGAAAACGGGCGAAATGGAAAGAATTCGCAATCAGCAATGGCAGCCACGGCAGTAGCATGTACGAGGTGCGGAATGAATGTGAACATTTTCGATGGGCACCGATGTGGTTTTCGCGCCGTAGTGACATTTTGGCTTTATTTCTCCAGGACTTTCTTTTCCGTGTCGACTTCGCAGCACGGTTTTCCACCTGGTTAAGCGGCTAAGCGAGTGAATTCCTAATGAGTTTGGTCGCTTTTGCTCCCTTTGATGTCAAATGTGAACGCGCCAGGGCCAGCAGCATGAGTGAGGAAACCGCGGCATTTTGTTGAGACAGTGTAGGCGGGAAAGTTCGAAAGAACATCACGAACTTTTTTCAGTAAGAAGTAGTTGCCAACAAAGTCCTTGTTCATCTTGACTATCAGCTTTAACTTGTACTTGGTTCTTACGAATCAAGGATCATACAAATATTTTGTGTGCGTCCTTCGAACTTGTATCATTGCGATTCTACTGTACCCTGAACCAAAATTTCGACTTAAAAATTGGCAGGATAAAGCTGCTTCATTTAAAATTGACAGATATTAATCTATATGTACCAGATGAACGGTTGCCGCATGAAAGAATCGGTACATTGTGCACGTATTTGACCAGAAAAATCAGAGCATGTGCTCTGCTAGAATAGTTGATACAGAAAGTTCCATACCTCTCGCCTCAAGGGTGTGTGGGATGGCTTCAGGTGTGAAGTATCTTGCAACCTTAGAAACTCCTTAGCAGCTTGGAAGGTAACCAGGGTGTACCTAAGCGAAACACATGAAAATATTCAACCAAACAGAAGCTTAAAGCAGCTGACTCCACGAAAGACACATGACATAGACTATGAGGCTTATGACGTTTTTACATTGCGTTAGATACTTGGAACACCGAAATGGTCAGCTAAAGAATAATGTTTTACCATGAAAAACAGATTTGTAACAAATTAGTGGGGACAGTATGACTACGAAAAAAATTTGTATCATAACAGAGCCGCGGTCTCTGCATTACTCATGCGTTGCCCTTATTATGCGAGTTACCACGGCACCACCATGCAATACACTTTCTTGAGCATTAATAGGTGTATGCAAAAAGTGTCAGCACTATAAATCATGTGCAAGTGAGTTGCGGCACTGACTAACACACCCCAGGGTTTTATGTACAATTAGAACTCCATCTATCGAAACTCAATCTTACTAATTTTCTAATCTTAACAAAGAAACTTTCATTCCTTAGCAGCTACCCATAGGGTTCAACGCTGTCATCGATTCGAACTAACGAAGTTTACACGGCACTGAAATCGAATTAATGAAGTATTTCCCAAAATAAATCAGCAGAAACGCAGTGATTTCTTCCCTATATTTTCGCAGACAAATTTTCTTCGGATGTGTGCTGCAATGCTGTTGCATTACAGTAGTCCTGACATAATTTTAAGGCTCCGAAAAGGGACCTTTTTCAGTTTTCCTTGGAACGCACTATCAATGCCCTCCACGCACCAGAGCGTGACAACACATGTAAAATATTTTACACTTTGATTTCAAAGTGTTCATCACCCAGCATCCACAAACCAGAGTAACTTCAATGGACATTATCTCGATGAGTCAACACAGTTGACTGGGGTTGCGAAGTCTGCATCCTGCATGCACCCCTAAATTGCACAAACCCTTGTCGAAGTCGCTGGACGACAATACACGCATTGTTCACGCGAACCATGTGCAAATAACGGCAAACAACAAAGCTCGTGCTAGTATTTCGAAAGTTGCCGTACTGCCCACGACGCCAGTCTTGTGTCCCTGAAGCCGCGCAGCCACCCCGTCGATACTGAAGCTGGAAGTGCTTTTTTCAAGGTAACAGTATTAAATATATATTCAACGGATCCCCGAGAACTACAATGCTGCTTTTAGGTTTCCCGACCCCCGTGCTTTTATTTAGAGCAGCAAGCCAAAAATATTAAAATTTTGCGTCAGTACTTTAACGTCTAACCACCGTAGTCACAACGTTACTTTTATTTCGATGAAGCTGCACACCGCAGTCCGTAGCGCTTTTACATGTCAAATGACATTGTGTGGTAGTGAATTGTAGTCCTTGCAAATACTGCCTACAGAAGTATGGCGATAGCTTTCGTTATTCAATTGTTTATGCCACAAATATGGCACTCATTGTGTTCTTGCGACTTCCTTGCTTTGCCTGCTCTCAGGTTAGCTGCATTCATTCTCCCCGTCTTTGAATGTGAGCAGCTTGCCACAGCTTCACGTGACCATCCATCTTGCCTGAATCATCTGGACATACTAGGACTGCCCTTGCAGACTTTTCACACTAATAGGGGCTAATAAAATGCTGCGATAGCTTTCAGGCAACGGTACACTTTAATTTTAGATTTTAAAAGAACACAGAATCCATCCTCAGGCACCGTGATCGCTTCATTAAGTCGAGTTTTAAGTGCATTTTACAGATGTAAATGCTTAAGCAAGTGTTCAAAAAAACGGTGCAGCAATTGTTGAATTGCCAAAAATATTGCAATGATTGACAGTTCAATAACTAGACCACTGCCATAAAGCTAAGGAAGACAGCTATGAAAGAATATTTATTATACTTTTTTTTAATAAATGTAGTGTTTATAAATGCTCTATTGCACTGTGTACCTAAAGCTATTTTATGACCTATGCACGTTTTTGTACAAAAACTGCTTTAGTCAAAGCACTCCAATTTAAATAACACTCTCAGTCAACATTTCACAAGCATGCAAAATGACTCAAAGTTACCCAAGCATGTCTTTCTCAGGGAGGTTCCAGCTGAAGTTTTGAATGTAGTAAAGGTCGCTTTCCAGATAGGGCAGCTTGCATCTGACAATCAAACAGGCCAGGATTGGAATCAGGTCGTCAGATGTCAGGTGGAAGTTGTTCTGCATTGAAAAAAAAATTTGCATGAGAAAAGGCCAGCACAAGCGAAGAGAATGAGATGGTTTTCATGTTCCAGATGATAATAAGTTAATAACCTGCGCATTTTACGCACTTTGACAGCCGTGAAGCGCAGACAGAAGCGTTACGCAAGAAATCATACCTCCCGACACTGACACGTATCATGTTTAAAACAAGTTCTGTTAAGTAGAAGCAGGACTGATGCCATACGGTATTTTGCTGATTTGCGAATATCCACAATCAGATCTGATTTCATCCAACTTTGGGCTTGACAATTCTCATAATCCAATGTTGGACAACTGCAAGCAGCTTGCAGTTTATGATTATCATTCTAATAATAATAATACTAATAATAATAATAATAATACCTTGGCTTTTACGTCCCAAGTACCCCAATCGATTATGAGGGAAAGCTGAGGTGGAAGGCTCTGAAAATTTCAAGTACCTACTGTTTCTAACGTGCACTGACATCGTACAGTACACAGTCCTCTACTATTTCGCCTCTACCGAAATGCAACTGAGCACCGTTACCAGTGATCCACCATGATAGAATATTATTAGTATTCTAGAAACGAACATTTTCTTTGTTAATGTATAAATGAACTGCATGGCACTCATCTCAAAGGCACCCACACGCATAGATCATACCTCTTTCAATAGAATTATGATTCAATTGAACTATAGCTGCATTTTAGGGGCAAACAGAATCCAACAGTTGCCTGCGCATCTGCTCAGACATGTCCGTCCCACAGAAGCTAGGCATGCACCAAGTGCGCAAAGCAACATGAACGTGCAATGCTTCGTCAATACTAGAGGCATTGCACACTAAACGCATGTGCCTGGAGACACACAACTCCGACTAAGATTTTTGGCCAGCCGCACATGAATATAAGAACCAGTAAAATTCAATTCTTCTAGCTTTCCAGCCATGAATAAAATTGCCATACTATGCCACAATCACCACTAATACATGTGCTCTAAGAGATGTCAACAAAATATCTCACCTAGTCACTGTTATTGAATAATGAGATAAATAGTTGTTTCAGAGTGCCAAGAAAGCTGTGCAAGAAGCAACCGTAGTAAGCTGTAAGCAAACTTCTGACAAGACCATAGGCTGCGCCTGACAAGAGTAACAAGAAAATTTGTCAGGTGCTCAAGGAAAAAACTCGAAAAGACACCTGAGCTGCGCCCATCAAGGGTAGACAGCGATAGCTTGATTGGGCTCTGTGCTCGTCACCTCCTCAATTGCTAGACTAACTTCGATTCCCAGTGCGCGCCTCAACCACACCGTAAGGAAACGAATGACTGTGTGCATAACACTGGTCGTTTCTAATGTACCCTAGAATGTCTACTACAAACAGAGATGCCACAAGTGCTGTAATTATCGCGTCTGCAAATAAAGCCCCACACGCTGTCCGTAACGCAACACGCGAACTGATGCAACTGCTCACTTTGTTTAAGCTTTTGCAGCTGATGATGATTAAATATATTCAAGCGCTTAGTAATGGGCTGTTTCTTTAAAAACCCACTTGTTACACAGTTCACATGTTTTGATGCCTGGCACGATTCTATGCTTCTGTCACACTATATAATTACATGCATTAGAGAGCCTCCTTCTACTACATGACATTCATATAGTGTTTTTTTCTCGAAGCAGTTTCAAGCAGCATGGCTTTGTGGTAGAACACCTGCTGGTCCCACAAACAGGCTGGGTTAGATTCTCACTAGGACAGAATATTTTATTTTATTTGCGTTTTTCTCAGTTTTTCAGCCAGGGAGAAGATGATGATTTTTCGCTCACAATCAAAGACACTTACAACAACAGTGACACTAATATTTCTGCAAAACGAGCCTTTAGCATCATCGCGATAAATTAAAACTATCTTTCCAAACTCCTTGCTTTCTAGAGTGAAAAATGTGAAAGGCGATCCAACAGCTGAGGGAGAAACAATACAAGCTTTAACAAATATATTCACAGCCAGTTCACGACATTGTTTACATATTTCACAATTTGTGTTGTCGCCAGTGAATTCAATCTGCTCATTTGGGGACATTCGTTTTGACAAGTGTTTCAGGTTTATCGTAAGCACCAAATAGGTGGACGAAAGAAGGGAAAATGGAGGGCTTATTTTCTTCATTAGACACAATGTTTATGACAGCCAACAGATAGACAAGTCAAGGATATAGGGGACATTAATTGTAGTAATTTTGATATAAATGTGAGGTTAAGGCAGGGACAGAACCTGCAACCTTGAAATAACGTGTCCGACGCTCTACCAGTTGAGCTGCAGCAGCAATCGTCCTCCCGTGTACTATTTATTGTGTATACCTGTGCATTCATACATGGGAGTGGTGATCGGCACCACCTATAGCCATGACGGTAAGTGTAAAACACTACCGTTGTTTTTATTTTTTTTTTTTTGCTGCTAGTGTCACGTAGCGCATGACCTTTTACGAGCTGGCAGCTTATTAATAAATCCTCGCATACTACCTGAAGACGTCTGCCAGGATGGAAACCTCGCTATGAATGAACGAAAGGGGTATGAAGGGCTCATTTCCTTTTTTAGACACAATGTTAACCAGAACCGGCAGACAATCAAGCAAAGAAAAGTCAGGGGACGTTATTTGTAGTAACTACAATATAAATGTGAGAAAATCAAAGCAGACGATAAAATGCTCGCTGGCAAAGAGTGCTGTTGCACGCTTACCGTCATGGCTACGAGCTTCTCTGACTAACACTATCAAATATGAATGCACATATACACACGATAAGGAGGTACAAGAGGACAACCGCAGCCATAGCTGTATAAGTAGAACGTCGGACAATTATTCAAAGGTTGCAGGTTCAGTACCTGCCACCAGCAAGCTGCCTTTTCATGCACTTTAATTTATTCACATTTATATTCGTACTTACTACGAATAACATCGCCATACATTCCTTGGCTTGAATGCCTGTCAGTTCTTAACTAAGCAGGGTAAGTGGAATACTTTTCTCACTTAGTCACTTTTGGTAATACGTTCACTCTTTCCATGCGCAGCACCGACTGCAACACCTTGCTGGAGCAACGGGGAATGCGACATGTCGACTCAACCAATCATTATGAAGACTCTACAGCCTAAAATGAGACAGCGCGACGAAAGCAAGGACACAAAAGGCGTAAATACCACAGGCGAAGCACTGTTTGCTCTCTCTTCACCTCCTCACGCAGCTTCACCCTCTGCCCTAATTATGAACCAACTGATCCTCATAGAGTTGTAGCCATCTCACAGAAATTATGTGCAGAGATGAACGTAAACACTGCCACCAAACGTGTCACAGGCTTGCTGCTGAAGTTTTATGATGTACAGCAACAATGAGAAATTTACAAATGTCCATTCTGTGCACACAGCTCGATGAAGACTAAATAGACCCTGGACTTCTCGACACAAACAAAGGAAATGAAACTGAAACGTATCGTACAAGTTCTACCGCAGTAGCCTCGAGAATTTTATAGTAAAAAGTCGTACCATTGGGATTTTTCAGACGGGCACAGCTGTACGCAGTGGAGTCGTAAATTTCTTCCGAAAGCATTTTCTGCAAAAAAAAGTAAATACAAATTATTATGTGTAGAAGGCTTCACGCTAATAAGAGAACGTCCAGTTTTGTGAATTTGCACAACATGTAAGAAGTGCACAAGGTCCTTAACAATTTGTGCATAACACATGCTCCGTGGGCCCAGACTTCCTAGCGGTAGTTCCTGCTAAGCATCGTTCTAATGCTCTCGAACAGCTTCGAAGCGCCCCAACCAGCAGACAACTTGGAGCAATCCACACGTGTGATCTCGTACAACTTTTTTTGCCAGGCCTTTAGCATTCTATGTGTCGTTACACCGCAGCTTCCGAGTCTTGCCAGCACCACAAGCATTCCTCGTTGTTGCCACCTGGCCCACTTCAACGTATAGATATTCCAAAGAGACCCATTCTGTCGTGTCGACCTCGACTGCATCAGACCATGACCGACGTCTCTGACTAAAAATGAATAGGTTGTCGTGGCTGCTGAATACGCAACACGATACTGCCATGCATGTTATTTTGATATGAATAAACACTCTCTCCGGCCACGTTTAGTCTTTAGTTTTTAATCTTAAAAACTGACCTTTTGTTTCGGGACACACTTGGGCTCTTTTTCAGGCGGAAACTGTCTGGCCAGCTCTGAAGCTAATGCTTTTCTTAGTGGCGGTCTCCCTCTCCACCATCGTTCTCATTGATTTTGTTACTGCACTGTTTTCTCTATCAGTTCTGGAGATTGTATAACATACATGCGTGGTAGGGTTCCAGTTGGCTAGTTAAGGTTTTTTTTTATTGTTATGCCCACCCCACTCGGCCACCTAGACTCGCTCCCTCCTCCCTTCACCCGCTGCTGCACACCTGCTTGTTTTTCTGCACGTCCTCTGTCTTTTTTAATTATCTGTGCACCACAGTGAGGTTTACGAATGGTGCGAGTGTAGAGACAGCACAGCTGACAAGCACACAGCGAGCGAAGGTCATGAAACTGCCTGCACCAACCGACAGTCACTTCCTGCAAATACGAAAATTTAAGGCCCGATCATGCACGCAATTTTCAAGTGACGACGACAGGATTTGCTATAGCCATGGCTGTCGCGAAAGGCCATTTGTCGCCATTGCGTCACAGGATTCCGGAAAATTAGAAGAAATTGCTAATCAGCCAGAAAAGATTGTGACCATTTACGCAACATGATAGCACCCCCATTCTCGCTTCAGTTGCAATTTGCTCTTCATGCTTGTTATCCGCGCATACTTCAAGGAATGCAGTATATACTCTACTAGGCTACCTTTTCTACAGTAACTTCTCATGTTGACAGCAAGACTGCGGCCGTATTTTGTCGTTAATCTTGTTATCGACGGTTTGTTTTGATTCTTTGGTGGTAGCTTGCTGCAATGTTGGTTACTTGCTGCAATGTTAACGGTAGCGGCAATGTCGTCGAGCAAGATTGCTATGAAGTTGGCAAAGTGCGTCTTGCATAGTAGCGCACATGTTTGGGCGCCCCTCGAGATCACAGCAGATACCAGTGTTGCGGTTAAACGATTGCGAGAAAAGAAAGCCGCAAAGCAGTGGGCGGGCGGCAGAGGAACAGCTTGCAGAAGACAGCGCCTTCATCCACCAAAGATGAATAAGTGCAACAATGGAGCTGTTTCCAAACAGTGTATGCATAAGTCAATTGCGAAAGGCTAAGTGACCTAACTTTTGTTTTTTGCATTACTGCATTTCTTGCTCATCCTGAAATGTGTTTATAAAATTTGCACCGCATAATAAACGCACCCACAACGTTGCTCCGATATTTCTAGCAAAAATGCGTTCATTACGCAAGTAAATATGGTATTCAGATTCCCCCACAAAGACTGTTTGCAACACTCTACACAGACTGTTACGCAATGCTTCAGAAGCTTTGCAATCGTTTAGGATAATTTCGTTAAGACTGCACGCAGCATGGGAATGGTCTATTTAATTCTAGAGCCTACACGGTCATTAGTGATAATGCTGGAACCTTCGATAGTAGATGTATAAAAGCCGGCGTGCTTTACCACTTCTCAGTTTATCAACGGCCACCACTCTGTTCGCCTCTATCAGTGTACAATGTGTTGCTGTAATTTGAGATTTTGTTTCCTCGGCACAGATTTACCAAAATTATGAGCTCCATCTGAGCATGCAAATTGCTGCTTTTGTCAATGTCACGACCACGTGACAATATGCTATCACACAAGTACGTACTACCAACAAGTCTGCTACTGTCATCGCGTACTTCCTACTTCATAACTTTATTCTCCACCATGGGGCTTCGTGTCAACTTCTGACCAACCGTCATCGCTCATTTTTCTCGAAAATCATTAAACACTGTTTACTCTTGTTCCACGTGTCATAAGCTGCCCAATGCCTACCACCTACAAACAAGTGGACTCGCTGATTGCCTCAATCGCATGCAGACCGCAATGCTGTCAATGCATTTTTCAGCGGATCAGCCTGATTGGGGTAGCACTTTGCTTTTTGTGAAGTACACATGCATGCAACTCGTCATGCCACGTCACCGCTGGCTTTGCCTTCTTCTATTTCTTGTTTGAACGCCATCCCACTTTGTCTGTTGAAACTATTCTGTCAGATATGTGGACTCCTAGAGAGCACACTAACAATGCAACTGCTTAAACTCAAACAGCTTGCCAGATTGCATAGGATCATCTTTCTGCCTCAAAGCTGCTTCAAAAGTCCCACTACAACAGCCATCACTGAGTCAGTCTCATATTCTTCAAGATCATTGGTCCTGCTCTGGACTCCTTGTTGCTATGCTGGCCTGTTGTCAAAGCTGCTTTCTCGCTACATTGAAAGCTTGTCCATTCGAACTTACAGTTAATTCGAACTGACGCCATGGTCCCGGCACAGCCCTATATATTTCTAAGGGGGGGAAAGCTCCCAATAATTAGAATATGTCTGTATCCACAACAGCTAATTCGAACTGGGAGCCACCTGCCTTTTGTCTCTCCTCGCAGAAATAAGCCCAGAATGATCACCCGAATTGCTCATTACTTTCATCTGTGAAAAACAAGGGTGGTGATTGATTTCCATGCACACTTTCATGGTTATAAATGTCATCTGTCTGCAGCTACTGCTGTAAGAGTAGCACGGCCCAGTCAGGCAATGTTTGCCTTTAGCCGCGTCCCCTTGAACAATTTCAATATTGTTGTAAATAAACTAAGAAAGATGTACTTTAAATTTTGATTGCTTTAACTCTGCCATGTAAATAAATGTGTTTGGAGCATAAACAGCTTCGTATATTTTGGCATTAAGGCTCAATGCTCACATGAAAGCAAGTCACTGCTTGTTTCTTGCATATCACCAAATGATCAATAAATTCTGTTCACTGTTAGAGCATGAACTTAATTTATGAAATCACCCGCCGAAAGCATGTAGTGTCGTCTAAATTGTGAAATGAGTCCAGAGGCTACTTCTCTGGGTTATTTCCACAAAGAGTGGCGCCATGTCTTCAATGTAGCGTCTGCCCGCTAATTCAAACTCCACTTAATTCGAACAATTTGATAATTTCCTTCGAGTTCAAAATAATTGATTGATATGTGGGGTTTAACGTTTCAAAACCCCCATATGATTATGAGAAATGCCTCAAGTTCAAAATGCCAGTCTTTTACTGCATTTCGAGCCTTAAGATGCCTTGCACCTGCTTACCGATGTCACATAAGAGGTCAGCTCTTTTGACAGTCGATTATCGTCGTCTGTACCTTCTAATAATATTATACCCATCTTTCACATACGATCCATACATTCTCATATGCCTCGAGATGGCGCTGCCAGCTGCAGGCTATATGCTACAAGCCATATTGAACAAGAAGGTACGCTTCGCCGAGGTGATGAAAACAATATTTACAATGGCACCCGCGTTGTTGCTGTTCCACCACTTCGGCAGAATGACTGCCTCTGTAGATTCTTTAGATACATATCTTTCTTTCTTTTGTAGTTTCCCACCACTATGAGAATATTTTTCAAGCTAAAGAATGTAAGTTAACTGTGCATGTAACAGTACAAATGGCTTATCATGCTGAGGTGACCTTTCTGCTGGCCCTATTAAAAAACGCCAGATGGTCATAATCAATTCAGTCTCACACTACAGCATGCCTCATAATCATACCTAGGCCTTGATAGGCAAAAACCTCTGAATTTAATTTTAAACTGATCAGTAATACACATCATACTAAGTCATACCTCATTTAATACAAAAGACATTGTAACACCACATTAGTGACATTTAAAAACTCATTACCAGCGTGGTCTTTAGGCACCAGAGCTTTTCTAGGGGTGTCGTCTTCGAGTCCAGCGATGCAAGTTCAACGACCTGCAAGGAAGGCCGAGATACAGACAAATAACTATGCAGGCCGGCTTCATTAGTTGGAAAGAGATAGCAAATGTGGGTATGGCAAACTGCTTGGAGAGCCTATTGTAACCAACGGAAGGACTTACTGAGCAAAGGAAAGAAAACAGAGAAACACCGACCATAAATGGAATTATTTGAAAACTTTCTGCTATCGACCAGATGAATTATCATCGTACCATCGATTTAAAGGACTTACTGAGCGAGGCAATGGGCAGCAGAATGATTCCCGGACACCAAGCTGGTCGGGGCTGAGGCCGGCCAAGTGGAGCTGCCGGAGTTTCTCGACAAGCACAGCATCCTCCTGCCGACAAAACTGCTTCACAGCAGCGAAAACTTTCTGATGGACTACTCCCATGACGTAGCTGCAAGCAAGTGGGAAGAAAATGGGAGATGGAATGGCGGACCTTCACAGAATGAAATTGTCTTATCAGAGATGCCTGTATTAGCATCCATTACAATAATAGCATGATTCACACATTTAAACCCTTGATATTTGCCCCAAAGACACGTTTTTCAGCATCATGTTCGCCTTCTTCCACCAGGAAAAATGCAGTGTATTGTATAATAACACTTCGTGCTGTACATTTAGGAAACATGTAAAATGAAAGTGAAACGGAGTTTATTGGCGCAAGTAGTACTTGCACAGCAGGTCTATTGATGCGGAAAGCGGGCGGCAGCAACGGACCCAGGAATCGCAGCACTTGGGGCAAACGGTCGCACTTGGCTCCTCTCGCTAAAGGCATGACCCACTGAGGCACATAATATTCTTCCTCTCTACAATACCCTGGCGACAAAGACGAGCCATCCTGGCAAGTCAAGGTGACGAGAGTAGGGGTGGGTCGTGATAGGGCTTGAGATGACTCACGTGGACAGTCTCACGACCAAGGCGTCGCCTGTCTGTAGATGGCGTGACCGGCTCGATCATGTATGTGACATGAGATCGACGCTCGACCATGCGATAAGGACCGTGAAACTTGGGGCCAAACTTGGAGGACAGACCTGGGGAGTGGAAGGGCAGTCGGAGCCAGACGAGCGAGCCCACGGCAAATGTCTCGACTTGCTGGTCGCTGTCGTGGCGGTCTTTTTCGAGTGCTTGCTTGTCGGAGGTGAATGATCGGGCCAACTGACGACACTCTTCAGCGTAGTTCACAATTTCAGAGAGAGGGTTGAACTCTGAGACGTCGGGACGATACGGCAAAATGGTGTGAAGGGTGGAGCATGGCTCACGCCCATATAAAAGAAAGAAAGGCGAGAAGCCTGTGGTTGACTGTGTCCCGGTGTTGTACGCATAAGTCACAAATGGAAGAATAACATCTCAGTTCGATTGGTCGGAATTGACACACATGCCGAGCATGTCTCCTAGCGTTCGGTTGAAGCGCTCAGTTAGACCGCTGGTCTGCGGGTGGTAGGCTGTAGAGGTGCGGTGCACCGTGCGGCATGCCCGAAGAATTTGTTGTACAACTTCGGATAAAAAGACACGCCCTCGATCACTCAGTAGTTCGGGTGGTGCCCCATGACGCAGTACGAAGCGTCGCAAGACGAAATTGGCTAAGTCATGTGCACCAGCCGTAGGTAGTAGAACTGTTTCACCATACCTCGTCAGATGGTCAAGCGCGACAATGATCCATAGATTTCCAGTGGCAGTGTACGGAAGAGGACCATATAGATCAATTCCAACGCGGTCGAAAGGGCGCGCCGGACACGGTAGAGGCTGTAATAATCGGGGTGAATGGGCCACTGTCTTTCGTCGGTGGCATAATGAACAGGACCGAATGTATTTTTGTACAAAGGTGTACATACCACGCCAGTAGTAACGCTGGCAAATCTGGTGACATGTTTTTAACACACTAGCGTGAGCATGTTGTGGGTCGGCGTGCAAATACGCACAGACATCAGATCGCATGTGGCGTGGTATAAACAAGAGCCATTTACGACCCTACGCGTGGTAGTTTCTGCGGTATAGTTGCGCATCCCGTATCTCGAAATGTGTGGCTTGGCGGCGAAGAGCGCGTGGGTACGCAGACATTGAGGAGTCGGAAAGAATGTTAACGAGAGATTTTATCCATGGGCCATTCCGCTGTTCAGACGACATGCTTGAGACAGAAATGGGAGCGATGGGAAAGTTGGCGTCCGAATGCAGGTCTGCGCTGGATCTCACTGGTGATCATGAGAGCGCATCCGCATCAGAGTGTTTTCGTCCTGAGCGGTAGACGACACGAATGTCGAATTCTTGTAGGCGAAGAGCCCAACATCCAAGGTGACCTGAAGGATCTTTTAGTGACGCCAACCAACAAAGTGCGTGGTGGTCTGTCACAACGTCGAAACTCTGTCCGTACAAGTAAGGACGAAACTTGCTTAACGCCCAAACGATTGCGAGACATTCTTTTTCAGTTACGGAGTAGTTCATTTCTGCTTTCGTGAGTGCGCGGCTTGCATATGCGACGACGTACTCTGGAATACCGGGCTTTCAATGCGCGAGTACTGCTCCCAGACCAATGCCACTGGCATCTGTGTGCACTTCAGTGGGGGCACTTGGGTCGTAATGGCGTAGAATGGGTGGCGACATAAGCAGGCGGCGCAGTGTAAGGAAGGCTTCGTCACATGCCGGGGTCCAGTTAGAAAGATTAGCTGGACCATTCAGTAGTTGCGTAAGTGGGGTATTATTGATGCAAAGTTGTGGACAAAACGGCCAAAATATTGTAACGGATATAACAACCTCACAACCGGGACGTCCTATTTACAAGGTTTAATAAGGGCGAACTTGTGCCCAAAGCCAAAAGAACTACACAGTAGCTGGGAGAAAGCAGCGAACGCTCGTCGTCCTCTTCTTCTCTTCTTTTCCGCTGCTCGGTAGCAGCTCGTGCACAGGCTGGGCCGGCTCGTGCCTTCCGGCGGGCTTCATGAGTCGTAGCGATGCCGTCAGCGTTCCTCTTTTAACAACGTCTGCGTTGTACTGCGCCTTAACAATTCCTCGTGGCATTATCCCCCCTCTCAAGCGGCATCGCCCCGATGCTTGCGATGAGGCTGTTTTTTTTTTGTGTGTGCAAGTTTGTAAAATGAGGTTGCAGTACGTCAAGGTATTGGGGTGGCTAGGTTTGGAATCGGTCGTAGTACGGTTTCATCCGTACAATGTGTACACGCTCCGTGGGATTGCGTCGCCTCGAATGCAGGTGGCCTGCAGGCTTGACTTCGTAGACGAGGTCATTGTGTCGCTGTACGATCTCGTAGGGGCCAAAATACCGGGAAATGAGTTTTTCGGAGAGGCCTCGTCGTCGTACTGGAGTCCATATCCACACTTTGTCGCCAACGTCATATCGCGTGTCAAGTCTTCCTCGGTTGTAGCGGTCGGCATCGATGCGGTGTTGGTGGCGTATTCGGTATCTTGCTAACTGGCGGGCTTCTTCCGCTCTTTGTAGAAAGTCGTCAAGATCGGGGGGGTAGTCATCTTGGTCTATTGGTAACATAGCATCCAGTGTTGTGGTAACAGCACGACCGTAACTAGTTCAAATGGGGTGATTTTGGTGGTCTCTTGCACAGCCGTATTGTAGGCGAAAGTGACGTATGGTAAAATTTCGTCCCACTTTTTGTGCTCGACATCCACATACATGGATATCATGTCCGCTAAAGTTCTGTTAAGGCGTTCGGTCAGGCCATTGCATTGAGGATGATATGCAGTGGTTTTCCTATGAACAGTGTGAGTCATGTTGAGCAGGCACTTCAAAAGTTGCGCCGTGAAAGCCGTTCCGCGATCGGTGATTACAACCGTTGGAGCGCCATGTCGCAGGACTATTTTGTGTACGAAGAATTGGGCCACTTCTGCTGCCGTTCCTCGTTCCAAAGAGTCTGTTTCGGCGTATCTAGTTAAATAATCAGTGGCCACAACGATCCATTTCTTGCCGAGTAAAGATGTCGGGAAGGGTCCAAGGAGGTCCATTCTAACTTGGCGGAAAGGCGCTTTCGGTGGATCTATAGGTTGTAGAAGGCCCGCTGGTTTAGAACGTGGTGTTTTTCGTCTTTGGCACTCGCGGCATGTTTTGACGTAGTGTTGCACTGAAGCTAGTAGCTTGGGCCAATAATAATGGAGACTGATCCTTGCAAGCGTTCGCGTCACACCCAAATGTCCAGATGTGGGCTCATCGTGACACGCTCGAAGTATTTCTTGTCGCATAGTTGCTGGAACGACAAGCAGGAACTTTTCGCGGTTGGGCTTGAAGTTTCTCTTGTAGAGAACGTTTCCTCGGAGGCAGAACAATGCGAGGCTTCGAGAAAATATACGGGGTACTTGTACGTCAATTCCTTGCAGGTGTTCGATAAGCGGGAGTAATTCTTTGTCTGTACGTTGGAGTTCGGCTATTTGAGTGGTCTCGACAATTCCTACGAACGGAAAGTCGTCTTCTTCTGATAGTGGTGTGTCTGTAGGAGCCCGTGACAAACAGTCGGCATCGGTATGTTTTTTGCCAGATCGGTATACCACTGTTATATCGTATTCTTGCAGTCTGAGGCTCCACCTTGCTAGTCGTCCAGATGGTTCCTTTATGTTCGCCAGCCAGCAAAGCGCATGGTGATCGCTGACTGCCTTGAATGGTCTACCATATAGGTACGGCCGAAATTTACTGATGGCCCAGACGACGGCAAGGCATTCTTTTTCCGTGGCCGAATAGTTTGTCTCTGCTTTTGTTAGAGTCCGACTGGCATAAGCTATCACTTTTTCTTCACCTTTCTGCCACTGTATTAGAACGCATCCAAGGCCGATGTTACTGGCATCTGTGTGTGTTTCCGTGTCGGCTGTCTCATCAAAGTGAGAAAGAATCGGGGGGTTTTCTAACCTCTTTCTCAATTCGTTGAAGGCGCTTTGTTGCTCGTTTGCCACTGGAAAGGCACATCTTCTCTCGTAAGTCTCGTTAAGGGTTCTGCGATCTTTGAAAAATTTCTCACAAATCGTCTATAGTACGCACATAGACCTAGAAATCTCCGTACTGACTTTTTGTCTGTTGGCACCGGAAACCTTGCGACGGCGGCCGTCTTATCAGGATCAGGGCGAACACCTTGGGCGCTGACGACATGCCCAAGAAAACGAAGCTCTTCGAAAGCTAATCGGCACTTCTCTGGCTTGATTGTCAAATCTGCCGAACGGATTGCCTCTAACACTGACCGAAGGCGCTTGATGTGCTCCTCAAATGTAGCCGCGAAGATGACCACGTCGTCTAGGTACACTAGGCAACACTGCCACTTCAATCCGGAAAGCACAGTGTCCATCATGCGTTGGAACGTTGCCGGCGCACAACAGAGACCAAACGGGAGAGCCTTAAATTCGTAAAGTCCGTCCGGGGTAACAAAAGCAGTCTTTTCGCGATCACGTTCA